GATACGGGCAGGAAAACAGGAGCACCAGGAAACGATGATGCAGCATTACCCAGCATGATAGGTGTACGTGCTTGGCATGCAAACCATCTTCAGACCTTTGTCAGTGGCAGTGCAAATGGATTTCAGAACTGCAAAGGGTAAATAAGTACTTTTGAGGCGATCTTTCTGTTGCTTTCTTTCTTTACTGTATCCACAGACAGCGTCATGATTTGTTCTTCCTGCCCTGGGTGTGCACCTTCCTAACAGAGGCAGTTTGGGGTTGCGTTGTTCCCTCAGCAATTCAGCAAAGTCCGGTCCTTGCTTGTGGCAGTTCTGCCTCCAGCCTCCCACAGCACCACCATGGGCTCTCGCGGGATTCACATCCAAATCCTCCAGCATTCCATCCCCAATGCTTCTGGAACATAACCCAGCCATTCTGCTAAGAGCTGACAGTCAACTTGGACACGTATAGTTTGGCAGTATGGAGTTGTCCATTTTCCTCTATTATCAATTACATTTCTTAACAGTGCCTTTTGCAACGCTAAAACAAAACCAAAACATGCACACACCCCAGTGCTTTTTCCTGCTTTAAACTCATCACAAACCCTGTGCCACACTGCCAAAAGCAGCCAGACCCTTCTGTTTCTTTTTCATATATATATATCCACTTAGTCGTGGATGTTTGGGATGCCCGGGGTTCAGTGGCTCAGATGGTGCTGCCGGCCGTATGCCAGGCGTGGGCAGGCAAGGCCCCTGCCGTTGTGCCGGGACTGCCTTTGTGAAAAATAGGCCAAGAGCTGGGGAAAAACAGGGCTTTCTCCAGCAAGCCTCACCCCAGCCCCTCTGCACTGTGCTTTGCTGTTAAGCCTTTCTGTGCTTATCCAAGACAAGCAGCTTCTCCTCACCCAGCACAGATACAAAGCCCGGTTTGGGGGCAGCTCGCACAATTTCTGGCCAGTGCTCATGCACGTCAGACCAGCCAGTTTTGCAGAAGCCACAAGCTTGCTGTCCCCTGAAATATTTTCAGAGCACAAAACTAAGCTGAAGTGAGGAATTTTGTTTGTAACTATGAGGCATTCAGAAGCAGTCTTTGTTGAGGCCAAGCTTCCATATGTCGCGGCCGGGCCCGACTCCTCTCACAGGCAGCCCCACAGACAGAGGCCCTGCCCCATCACCTCAGTGCAAGACGGGATTTTGCTCTTCCCAAGGAAGCCTACGAGGCCAGATCTTTGTGGCCTGGCATGGCTTTGCACTGGAGCCCTTCTGAAGCCCCGTAGCTGGAAGCCTGTGGCTCAGGTGACTCAGAGCCGGTGGAAGCACCTCACTTCCTCGCCTGCCAGCCCCAGCCTCCCCTTCCAGAAACTTCCCCTGGTGATCAGCTGGCTGCTTCCCGGTGCGAGGGTTGTTTGGTGGGTTTTTTCCAGTGTGTGCTATGTACACAATTAAACAAAACTCCCTCCTTTTTTTTTTTTATTGTCCTCTGGAGAAACTGTGCTGGCATGCATGCCTCAACTTTTGGGGATGGTTCTATTGTTTTAGCTGCTATCAAAGTCAAGGAAAAATTAATCACACTTTCCTTCGGTGCAGTGGAAGTGAGCTTGCTTGCCAACATGCCTCAGTAGAGTTTGCAGTTGCCCAAAGTTTCTCTTTAGTGACATACACTTTGTTTGGCGTTACAAGGTGACCGCTGCCAGCACAGTATTGGCTCTGCCACCAATCTGAGTAAGGTCAAATCAGTCTGAAGTAGTTGAACAGTCTTTCACTGTCAACAAGTAGCCTTGGAAGACTGCAAGGAAAGTCCAGAGGAGGGAAGTCTTTTGACGTAATTCAAGTAACAAAAAGTAAACTGGCAGCCTCATGCTACAGGATTATTGCCAAATCCATCATCTCGTTCCCAAGGGCTACACCTGCCCTAGAAGCATGTCAGGTTGTGGTGCACAGGTGTACCTGCTTTTCTGAAGTGCCAGCACAGTAGCCATTCACAACCAGCAGCTTGCCTCAATGCATTTGGTGTCAGGATTGCAAAGTCTGAGCTGCGTGACTTCAGGAAGACCACAGGGGTGTCAGAGCATCCCCACAGCTGTGGACATTCAGAGCAGTTGCTGCTTATTTCACCAGCTTGGTCTACAAAGCTGAAGCTTCCCTCTGCCTGTCCTTGATGGAGAACACCTGTTGAGCTCCAGCTGAGTCTGTTTGAGCACCCAGTAATGCCTGAATAAAGCCAGGGGAAAAGTGGGGCTGCAGGGTGGGTGTTGCTTGCAGCCATGCAGTGGATTTGCTGCCAGTTGTCCCACCTTGCTCAATGCACTCCTGTCCCTGCAGCGTGAGGACCAGGGCTGCGTGACTGACCAAACACGCTGCATATAGCACAGGGATGTTCACTTCTCAATTTACCACCAAACACTGAGCAGTGACCTGCAGCAGGTAGGAGACACTTCAACAGGTAGAGAGCTGCAGGTAATATCCTCGTTGCCTTCTGCATAAGCCCTGGGCCTATCCTGTCTCTGTCCCCAAAGCAGTGGAGTCCTGTCCTCTTGTAAGTATTTTCCAGAGTCCATCTAATGAACATTTCTCTGATAATCTAACGACTACAGCATTGGTAGGCTACAACTCAGAGCACAAACTCAGTGCTTTCACCTCTGACTTGTTGAAGTTTCCAGGGGATTTGCAGACCCACAGAGCAGGTTTGGGCTGGACAGTACTAGGCTTGCTCTTCTTCACCCATAGCTTTGCCATACGCTGCTTCCACACACAGTGTTGATGTGAGAGATTTTCACTGTCTCCTTCTCCTGTGTGCCAGGCACTGACTGGAGTTAAAGCAACTTCAGTTTTAATAATTTTCTTTGAGAGTAATTTTAACCAGCTGCTTTTACAGTTCACAAACACTGCTGCCGCTGCGTAGGCTGCTCCTTCCAGCAGTGATGTGAGAACCATCAGCAGCCAGGCATGAAGCCACTCTGAAATCAGATCAGCTGCCTCTTACAGATCGCAGCTTGAAAAACATTGCCCTAAATTCACACCTTGCTTCAAGCCATCTCCATCTTCAAAGGCAGCTCCTGTTCTTGAACGCCTGCTGTTAGACAGCCCAGGGCGGTACTGAAGGAAGTACCAGCGAACCCAAAGGGAAAGGCTGTGCCTTCAAGGCTGTGCTCACTTATCTTGTGTCAAAACACCAGCATTTTGTTAGAGGTCACACACTTTTCAGGGCTTTCACGTGCTGCTTTTCCTCATTCCACACCCAGAGGATTATTTTTTAAATAGAAACTTCTTAGGTAGCCCACAGGCATTCAGACCAGTATTAGTTCAGCCTGTCAGCCAGAGCAGTGCTTCACATGAGGCATTACGGCAGCCCTGAGATCAGTGGGTGGCTGCACTCAGCGTGCAGCCCTACAACACCTGAAGGCCAGAGTTTTCCTGCCCACAGAGCATTCACCAGAGCAGAACAGCCAGAAACAAATCCAATGGCAAATTTATACGCAGCTGTTGAGAACTTGTTCATCGGCGCTCACTCTGATGGGGGTTACTTCACACATGCAAAAATCTTGCAAAATCTGGCACAGATCCACTGTGGTTTAATGCAAAATAGCCTAAAAAAAAATCCACAACAAAACCCCAATCATGCCTATTAAAAAAAAAGCCCTTAAAATAAGGCAGGGAGAAAAAAAAGAGAAGCATTGATTTCCTCTTTCACAGTTGGCTAGAGAAGCAGACTGCCAGCATTGGGTTGTGGATTTATCACCCAATAGCTCCAGTATCAGACTGTCATCCTTGAGGGCTTCAGTACCTAAGGTGGCTGTGCCATGGGAGCCCTTCTGCAAATACAGTTGTGCTGGTCTGAAATAGAAGTGAGAAGATGCTTTGCTAACAAACTTACAAATACTTACAAATACCACCAAGCCCAAGACTTGTATAGGAGGAGGTTTTGCTTCAGGCTGTTTCCAAATAGCACTGTTAAGTATTTGGGAGCACAAATAAATCCTGAGTTTTGGTCCTATCTGTCAGCTAGAACTGCTCCCAATGAAAAAAGGTAGAAAATGAGACAGAAAATCACAAAATAATTCCAGCAAAGAGCAATACAAATAACAGCAACCAGAAATAAGGGAACCCTTAGCCTACTCCTGAGAAGTCAGTGGTAATTTGCCATTAAATTTCAACTGAAAAGACCTCCTCTCCTTTCACTTAATGTTCCACATGAAGTATTAGAATAAACTCTGTAAACTATCCCCTTCTTGGTCTTCCTTTTTCTCAGTCTTCATACGATCAGTTTGCAAAGGCAAGACAGACTATACAAATCTGATTCCTGGGCTTATATTTTAATATAAGCATGGCCACAATGAACAGCCCCTAGTCTCAAAGCATTGTTTTAAAAACAGCAATAAGATGACTAAAATACATGTTCCATCTGTGTAACTGAATAATACAAAGCAGCAAACGTGGTACTTCAGATGTAGAGCTGTTACAGAGGGAATTGTCCTTTGATGCTAAGACTATAGTGCCACAGTCTCAGCCATAGTACCATGTTTGCTGCTCTGTATTATTCAGGGAGGTGGTGGAGTCTCCTTCTCTGGAGATGTTCAAGACCTGCCTGGATGCCTACCTGTGCTACCTGCTGTAGGGAACCTGCTTTGGCAGGGGGGTTGGACTCGATGATCTCTGGAGGTCCCTTCCAACCCCTACAATTCTGTGATTCTGTGAATTTGCATTACACAAGGAAAAAAGAAGATCCAGCACTACGATCAGTTACTGGAATTGGTAACTCAAGCAGTATAGCTACAGCACGCCTATCACCTGCCTTCAGGATGGAAAAGTCCCAGTTCAGCTTCCTAGTGATGAAGCATGGTGTGTGAGGTGTGCAGCTCTACTTCTCCTGGCCTCACTGTTAGCCTGGCTGGCAGTACCTGAGACATAGAGCAACGAGGCACTGCCACCTCTTGTTCAGGCAGTGCAATAGAGAAGTCCAGCAGGAACCTGCACAGCCCAGAGGTGGGCAGCAGCACGTAGGCAATGGCACAAACCACGGATTCAAAGTCAACTTTCACGCGTGTGTATGTTTATTATTTCAAAGTACAGTATATACAGAATATATAGTGATATTTTCAAAAACTTTATACAGAAGCAAGTATCTACAAAATTTAATCAATAGACACTCTGTATACTCAGACAACATACGTATACATATTGGAAGATTTAACATAGTTTGTTAGAACATGAAAATGGGAAAGAAACACCATCCATCTTAGAACAGCTTTCAATGCCACCCAACTCCCTCCTCTGCAGCTCAGCTGCCTGCCCTCTGACAGGTTCCAGGTGGCTGTGGAGACGCGGTAAATCTGATTTCTAGTGCCACCTACCGTTGGCATTTCCCATCACAGTTGCTCAGCCAGAAGGACCCAAGTCCGTACATTCCTATAGGATGTGTCAGGCTTTGAGCTCTGAACCGTTCCCTGCAGCATACAGGCTCACCTTACGCTCAGTTCGGTGGAAGCCAGAAATCTGCTACTGCTTAATTTGTAGCTAAGAACTAAAATCTTGTAACGAAAACTATTTCAGAAGTGTACATTTTTGTTTCAGTAGCTGGAGTTAGCATTGGTGTTGCCAGCAAAAAGTGAAGATTTTTTAAGTGAAGAGCTTATCTGAGGAAGAAATTGATCTCCATTGCATTCTGGAGACTGAAATGATTTCTACAGCACAAAATGGTGTTGTCCAGTATACAGGATGTAGCTTTAGACAACAGTGCGGGATTTTACAGAGGGTAGAAAGCATCAGCAGCTCTCCTGTAGGGCCTCTAAGAACATCTGGATGTGTGATGTTTCAATTAAAGGAGCACCCTGAGTATTTAGGAAAAGCTGTTTCAACCAGTAGGATACAAAAAGCCACCAGCTTGGAACTTTCAGATGAAGCCTGTGGCAAACACACATCTAATGGACACTGAATTTCAGTGACAGATATGTAAGCTAACTGCTCCAGGCTGTCTTCAAAATTGGCTTATTGGTTCATCAGCAAAATTTATTTAAGCTGAGGACAGTTTTCTATGTCTGGCTCATGATATAAATAGCATCCCAAAAAGTAGAAGTGAAACATAATGAAACAAACCTTGCACCCACTGCTGTTCACCTGTGTGAATCACAGAAACACACCTTGTCAGACATTTTCTTGTGATGTGTGTTGAGCAATATTACACTGCTGGTAATTTACCCCACCAAAATAAAAGGCCTGGCAACATCTATGTGGATTAACACACCACTGGCTCTCAGGAATGAGCAACATCATTTAGCAAAGTTGCTGGCTGATCCATCATGTATTCATCATATTCTGGACTTACTGTATATAGAATCACTTGCCAATGTGTGAAGTGGATGAAATTTCTATCTCTAACAGGTATGTTTAAAATAAAGCTTCTAGAAGATGCCTTTGGTCCATGTGAATACCATACTCAACACAGTACATGGAGTGAAATTTAGGCTGCTCTGTGTCTCCACAACCAAGGGAAAAAACTCTGGAAAGTTACTAGTGCTACAGAAAGAAAGCAGCATTTAGAAGGACAACTAGCTAGGCTTCTCAAATAACTTAAAAGGAGAAACAACCATGCCGAAAAGAAATAAAAATTTCCACAATGTCATTGCACTTGTTCCATCTGCACCACACCTCTCCTTCATTCACATTTTACACCTGAAGAACACACATTAAATGATTACAGTATTAACACGGTATCTAAAATACTGGAGTCATTCAGCTGAACACCTGAAAATATCCAGAGATCTGGTACATTAGAGCACAAAAATGCAAATATATGAGAGCTAAGCTATGTCTTGACATGCAGGTTGATCTTTCAAGTTCCTTTCCTTCAGCAGAAGGTCTAGTTCAGCTGAGACCAACTGCCTGCTTGCCCAGGGTTAGATGTCAGCTTCCCAGAAGTTGGTGACAAGCCTCTTCCAGCAGAGCCAGGAATTTTCCTCTCCACATCACTTAAGCAACGGTAAAGCAGAGGTAGTCCCATGACTGTGCTGGTAGAAATTCCCTAGCATTTTGCACAACCATTGCTCTCAGGAGTTTAAAAAAATATATATGTATGCATAAAAACCCACCCAGATTAACGGGTCACAGTTTTTCCAAAGCTCATGAGAATCTGAATCATTGGTTTCCACTCCCTCATTTCTAAATGAAATCCACTGACAGTGAAAGGACCAGCTATCCAAAGACCCTTGAAGCTCTCTGGACCACAAAGTGGGTCTTGAACCTGCAAGCACTTTCAGAAATGCCTATCTTTGAAATGAACAGGAAGCCTCACTATCCTGTACCATCTACTCACACTAAACATGACCCTTCTGCTCAATTTGGTTCATTACAACAACACTCAAGTGACTCAGTGGCACATGAGATGCTTTCATAAGCTCCCCTCCCTGTACGCTGCAGGATTCAAGCCCTTGTTTTGTATATGATGTAAACTGTACATGGAGTAAGACAGATTTCCCCCCCCCTCCAAAGTGCCCTAATTCAAATAGCTAGAGCATTTGAATTCTGTAGCATGTAAGTGTACACAACCTTTTTTCCATAATAGGAAGTTCAAGTAATTAAGAAAAAAAACAAAATATGTATTTACAGTGTGAACTGGTCAATATGTTTTGGTCAAAAGGCAGTAAGTGCACCAATAGTGCATCCACTGCTGGAATAGACACTTCAGATTCTGTAGATTACTTACCCTGGAATTAAAACATGAATATGTTATTGTGAAACTAGAACCTTGTCACCTTGTTCCTCTTCTACTATCACCATCTCAAACACCAACAATTAAACCATTCTTAGTTCATGCCACATTGACCACCTAATTCTTCACAACAGTAAAATTAAGGAGTCACATCATTTCTATGCCATTTTTACAGTTCAATCAACAGACAAAAGTCCCACAAGTTCTAGGTTCCACTTCTTACCATCACTTTCACTGGCAGGTCTATCCATATGTAATGAGAAAACTCAGTAAGCTTCTATTTGAAAAAAAAGCTTTTTTTCTTGGTCTGAAAACAGATGCAATCACAATGTAACAGTGGGCAGCTGAACTCTTCTAAAATGCTGTTAAATACACAGAATGCTGGAGAACTTTTGACAATTATCTGAGATCAGACTTCTTTAGATCTATATATCTAAAGATCAGGGGTTACAGGATTTATTGAATTGATGTTTATGTTACATGCACTCAACAACTGCATCAAGCAGTCTTTCGAACCCTTAATTTTACTGTTGTTTCACTTCCTTTCAATAAAGAAATCTATTATCAGAATGTTAATCCAATACAGAAAATAAACAATATCATGATCATCACTCAAAAAAACAAATTGTGACAAAGCATTTTTCCATGCATTTGTCAAAAGCGCTTCATCAACCTAAACATCAGAATTAATATGCAAGAAATAACGTCTGAAAGCCCTTAAAGCTCAGTAACATTGGATATGTTCAACAGCATTTAAAACATAATTGGTTTATTTTTTCAAGCTCCATCATTAAGAGACTGATTAATTACACAGCAGAAATGAAAGTCTCACTGCAACTCACTCAAAACACAGTATGCACTGCGAAGTGTCTGTATGTCATTCCAAATGGAAGTTTTAGATCAACAGTGTCAGTAAAACTCAGCAACACCTCAGGCTGGTACTGAGTAGACAGAACTACACAGATGCCTGCAGATCTCTCAAAGTAAGGACAGCCTGCATGAGTGAAGGCTGTGTACACAAAATACTGCTTGTGCTGGCAGGCAATCAGATTTCAGGAAAAACGTTAAAAAATAGTGGTCTGTAGCACCTGCCTTTTCTGCATCTTCACGCCAGTTATTTCACAGAAGCTTTAGTTATGTCTGTTTGATTTTCTGTTCCAGTTCATGCTTGTGTTTAATAAGCCGTTCTATTTCTGTTCCTAGGGTTTGAAGGTTTTCCTTAGGGGAAAAAAAGAGTAGGTTAACTTACAGAGAGAAAACAAGTAATATCAGCACATACACTAACAAGTTAAAATAATTATGTCAGCAGATTGACACTTACAAGTACTCAGAACAAATGCAAATGATTAGAAAGGTAGAGAAAACCAAACGCATTTCAATTAAAGATGCAAACCTCTGAGCAAGCCTTCGTTATGGTCACTAAGATTCTACAGGCTGCCTCTAAAATGTACAGTGTTCAAGAATGACAATTACTGAAAGAGATCTCCAGCTTCTACAGAACACTGCAGTTCACCTGGCAGCCTACACAACTCTTTTCAGCCTCCCATCCCTTCACAGCAGACGTGCTGCCCCAGCTCAGTGTGGTACCCAGTGCCTGGCACACAGCCTGGCAGGTGGAGCCCACGCCATAAGCTCCACACAGCTGGGGAGAACATGCACAACCCCTTCTCCACAGAACGCACACACAGCCAACATTTACTGCTGAGAACCAGCCCACCAGTGCAGCGTATGACAGGAGTCACAGGGAGGTAGCAGTACTTCAAGTTACAGCACTCTTAGATTAACCCAGTGCTATCAGTGTCACAATTCACACCGATCTGACATCCAAAAAGCCTCCTTCTTCAATAGCACGCATCTCTTCAAAGAGATGACTTCAGAACCACAAGAACTCACAAAACAAAAGAGGCAGATACTTACTTTTAGTGTAATATTCTTCAGTAATGTATCTTCTAACACAGCTTGCAGCTTTCTGTTTATCTCTAAGGAAAGTTCTAACGTGAGACCACTATCTGCAGGATGAGATGTATACAGAGATGCCATAATTCCTCCCCGCCTACTCAAGTGTACTTTGTTGAAGTCAGATGCCTCTGAGGACAGTGCGCCAGCTTCTTCCCGCAAAATGTAACTCTGAATAATTCTGAGCAAAAAATAAAAAAGACATCATGGCATTAGAAGGTAGAGAAAAGGCAGACACCAAACTACAGAATCGTGACATACAATAATTTTCAATCAGAACTGTATTACTGACAAGGCAATCAAGTCCTGCAACTCCTATGGCAGCAGAAAATCTATCACCTGTGCTATACAGGTGATACAGGCAACACTGGATAGTCATGTCACTACAGTGTGCAAGTTATACGTACTTAGAAGTACTTTGAGAAAATAATATTGCTAGTGCAGCCAAAAATAAAAGGACTAAAAGATGCCCCATCTACTTTTCTTTGCTGAAAGATAGAATGACCTGTTAGAAAACACCACTTATCCTGAAAGATGAGCAACTGAACTTGTCTCATGAAACATGACAACAGTCTTCAATTTTAAGATGATTTCATGATCCCACAGAAACCACCTCCCTCAGCTCACAGGAAAGATATATTACATTAGTGCAGCAACACATGCTGAAACTCAAATAAGTAAGCCTTGAGAGCTAGAGGAAGGACAGTAGAACATTAATGACCTGTACACAAAACTGCTCAGAGATCTCATACATGAAAGAGTTGCTTAAACCAACTTTCCTAGCAACAACTCCAACCACATACTTTATTTCTGCCTTATTTCAAGTTTCTGGAGAACGATTTGCAGCACTACTGTCAGTTCTCAGTTGCTACTGAGAGCTACATGACATTAATCCATAAGAGAACAAAGTACAAGACAGCCTGGGGTGCAACCTTTTCTTCTTTTCATTTTTCAGCCAGCACCCACAGTTGGACTCATTTGTTGGAACAGCCATTAAAGCATCACTGTTTGCTCAAGTCATGACTTCCCACATCATTTCAACAAAAGCTGACAATACCAAAACTACACTAAGAACTCGTAAAGAAAAAAAGAGTCTCACATACACAACAGTTTATGCATACTCAATACTGAAAACTTTATGAACCAAACTCAGAACATACTTGGTTTTTTTCCTGATTTCCTCCACTAGGTGTTTAATGTGATCCTCCATGAACTCCATCTTTTCATTTTTTCGGGCATGTGCTTTCTGTAGCCTCAGAATTCTTTCGACCAAGACAGACTTGTCCACCTCTGGGAAGCTATCCACAGCCACCGAAGATCCAGTATTCTCTGGAGACCGATCCTCATTGCCGCTGCGTGCATTAAGGGACCCTGCCAACACATCCCAATTTTAGAAGCTCTTTTTATTTCTAACCTAGGTAAAACAGAACTTCACCAGTGCAATGCATTCATTACGTTTCAATAGCCTGTTTTCTTCAGAATGCTGGTTTCCCTTACATGTGAGCAGGTTTTTATGTAAGTAGTATTTATACCATTTAAATGCAAGCTGAAACAGCAGCGTAGTCCCCTAATATAGGCACAATCCCATCAGTGTAACTGAGTTTATTTTGGTAATACTTTTGTAGAAGTACCTTCATATTCATTAATACTGCTTTACACAAGATTGAACTGATGTTAAACAGATTTCCTCTAGAGTCCACTAAACTTACAACCATGAGAACTGTCTACAGAATGACCAGAGACCTACATTACAAATAGTCTGCAGCACTGATCACTTAGAGACTGAAATATTTTTTGCTTTCTGTTCAACTCTCTAAGTATCTCTCTCTTATACAGCAAGATCACACAATAATTTGGCAGACCTAACTCAACTTAAAACCCTAATCTATTGAGGAAGAAAACAGATGTTGTTTTCAGCACTAAAGATAACTGTTTTACAGCTAACTGGATAGAAAGTCATGAATTTTACACAAATACACTGGTGCTTCCAAACATGCTAATTGACTTCATCATTTACACAGTTACAACTGTCAACAGGGCAGTTAAATACTGCTGAAAACTGCTGCAAATTTTTGTTTTGTCCCTGGCTGCACTTAATAGGGTCCTCTACAAACTGGAGAGCTCTGAGCTTCCTCCAAACATAAAAACAAAGTCAGGTGCTTAAGAAGATCCAAAACATATAAACATCAAGCTTCATGAAATAAGAACCCTTAACTGCATTCAGCCACGTGCATTTTGGTGTTTGAAGGCTATTTTATCAGCTCTAGTGGGAGATTGCCCACACATCACATATGCACAAACCACAGAAAGAACAAAAGCTCATGGCAGCACACCATGGCAACCTTATTAAGATGAAAGGATTGCTGTGGCAGCCCTGCTATTTGTCGTATTACCTGATGAACTGGAACGGCTCCCCATGCTGCTGACTTCTTTGTCATAATTACCATTTTCAATCTGATCCAATTTCCTCCGTGCTAAAAGTATAATGAAATTATGGTTACCAACAGGAGATTAAAAATCAAGAACCACAGTATGATACAACAAACACTCTAATCCTTTGTAACCTGCAATAATTTCACATGGCTTGACCACTTAAAGGTAGCAACTAAAAGCTACGTGGGGACATGGGAGAATCACCAACTGCAAAACAACTGCCCTCCTTCTCTCCCTTCCCCTAGGCATGAAGTACCTGAATGCAACATCCACTAAGACCCCTAATACACCACAGCAGTTTGTAGACACAGGGGAATGTCACAGAAAATTAATTCAGACCAAGATGACTTAGATTTGATTTTACCTCTTTTATAATTGCTGAATGACAGAATGGCAGCTCTGTTTTAGGATCTCATGACTATCACTACTGGGAGCTGAAAGTAGTACTTGTGCCAGAAGCACCACTCATTCAATAGGGATGAAAAGGGAAAGTGCACAGCTGTTCATATTCATACAAAAAAAGAGACAAATAACTTCTCTTGCAAAACGCCAGTAGGAGGTTTTTCCCTTTCAAACAGATTTGAATGTATTCAAAGCTATCTGCATTCAGAGCTTACCAACTATCAAGTAATTATTTCCGTTTATTGGAAAAAAAAAAACAACTGGGCTTTCTACATCCATCTTTATCAACTGAAGTGCTCAGTTTAATACACTACACATTACCCCTCAGCAGTAATTCCTGATACAGCCAGGAGAAGACTTCTAGCAATTTCTGAATATGCTCATCCAATGATGAGGATCCTTATGCACCCCACAGTGACATTCAGCTAGTGACACAAAGGGTAACAAAGAGCAAACTCTCTTGAGATAAAATTTTCATTTTATGAATAAGCCATTATGAATAAGCCAAAGTTATTAGATATTAGTCTAATAAGACTGACAACTGACACTAAGTGCTGTTCACTCCAAATGCACTTTCCCCCAAATCTAACTTGCTCGCTCACTCTCATCCTCTTCAGAGACAAGAAGATCTTAAAGGAGTGCGCTCAATACAAATACTGACATGACTCTAATCTCCACAAGACCCTGCAAAGGGGCTTACAGACTAGGCTGGCTCATTGTATCTGAAAATAATTTTAACCTAGCTGAAGCTGTTTTGTGAGATCTTTCAGATTTGCTGCATGCTTGCGCTTCTGTGTAGTCAATTCATCTTTCAGTTCATCCACATGGGTCTTCAGTACTGTGAGTTCTTTCTGCTCTGAAGCTAGCTGAGCCTGTAGCATCTCAACTTCTAGCTTTCGTTGATCCTCCTCCTTCTGCAACTTGGTGGTCTGAAATTATAGGTCATAAGCAAAAAAAAAAAGCACTTTTTACCTGATAATCTCTTGCATTTAAAATTTACTAAACACTAGCTCTGCAAATGAATACACAACAGTGCAATGCTGCAGTAAGAGAATCCTGAACTCTAAAACATGTATACAATGCAGCACAGAGCTATGTACAGCTGTACATTACATTAATTTCTTTTTGAAAACGTTCATTATAAATGATGCTCACCTTACATTTTTCAAAGATGACTTAAAAAACAGTTTGCATAATAAATTTCACACGTGAATTACAAGCTTTTGATTGTTCCAATGACAGCTGCACAGAGAACTCTGCCCTCCAAGACAAATTGAGCAACACAGAAACACCCTCACCTCATGTAAGCCCAATGTACTTTGGCATTTCTTTCCTCTCCAGATTGGCAAACTCAAGAACTTGAGTTTGGGAAAGGAAAGGTGGAATTCATGTCCTCCAGACATCTCAGTAGGGCAGAAAACAAGCTGCATGCTGTACTCACCAAATCATCTTTAGCCTGCTGAACACATTCCAGCTGATTCTGCAGCTCTCTTTCGCTGTAAGAAAGCTTATCCAATTGGCTCTGTAAGGAATTGTTTTCAGACTGAAGCTGTGCATTCTTACTGGTTAATTTTTCAGTGAATATCAATAGCTCAGATTCTCTTTTCCGACTACCTTCAATGTCCTTCTGGAGATCAGCAATAAGAGAATTGAGACCATCTACTTCTTCCTTTAAAGCACTGATATCTTGTTCATCTCTGTCAAAACAATTGCATTTTATTAGGGAAAACTGAGCTTGAAGTCATCAGATATGAAACCTTACTGAAATAAAAGCATTTGAGACCAAATAAGGGAAAAAAAACAATGAACGACCCTGGCATATCACTGGGTGCTTTTAAATACCAAAAGAGATCATGGATTCCACATTTCATGACATGATGCAATGATGAAGTAACACAGAAAACTGTATCTCATGTTAAGGCTGTAGCCAGTGGCATCCTCAAGGAAGGCAACCTCTCTGTTCACTGTGCCCTGTACAGGATGTCTAAACAAAATTCTCAGAAGCAGTACTGCAGGTAAGAGAAAGGCCTGCAAATCCAATATGCTCATGCTTTGCTTTTCAAAATACATTCTTTCATTATGATGAGAGGCATTTCTACACCTACCAGTCAGGGTTGAAATAGAAAATTAAATGTTTACGTATCTCAGGATGGTCTAAGGGACCCCTAAAATAATCTTTCCTGCAAAACTCCAAATATTTTAATACTTCCTCCAATGCACAAAAAATAGCTGAACATCCACTTTATGGTATCTTTTTACACAAGTCTCCTTTCAGTTTTCTCTAAAAGAAGGAAACCTGCTCTGACAATCCTTTTCTCATTAGAAAAAAAGAGATGAGAGTTTACATGAATTAAGACAAAGCTCCTTCCAAGATGATGACAGGTAGTTAAGTTTATTTATTCTAAGCAACAGTAAGAAAAACTAAGTTCCAGATTCCAGGATTTCCGTTTCAGAAATAACAGGCATTTACTGACTGAAGTTTTCAATCTCTTGTTGAGATTCCACAACTTTATTAAACATTCTAGAGAACAATGAAAACATGTTCAGCTCATTTTAAGAGAGAAATAAAAGACTGGATAAAAATTATATAGCAGCAATGAGCACTGCAGACATTAGATCAGAAGTTTGCTTTTAAATATCCTAACTTAATAGAAAACGAGTCATTTACAAGGACATCTGAATTACTGAGAAAAGATAACTGGAAAAAAACATTTGCAGTTTTCTCACTGGTCACCAAGCTTATTTTGATTCTTTCTGCACTTCTGATTGAAGTGTAAGGTTCAGCTGTCTCTAATGGAATGCATTCTACCTTAGAAATGAAGGCTGATGAGAGCGCTAGCACAGCTGACCAGCACAGAGCAAATGGAAAATGCTTCATTCTCTAAACCTGAGGAGAACATATATTGCTGAAGGACTTTTCAATGACAAGTAAGAACTCCTTAGAAGTACTGGAGGGACACATGAGTGGTTCTGTTTATCCAACAGCTATTTTACTTACTGAGAATCAATGAAGCAGAAAGCATTTCCGCATTCTAGTTAACACAACTCATACAGAAACACACATGCACACAGAAACTCCCCAACTGTCCATGAACTCTTTGTTCCTTATACTTTTAAGTCAGCAAACTTCTACACAGCACAACTAATACTAACCCACCATAAACACAAATGCTCCTTACTGTCTGCAAAGTATCTGCCAGGCATGAAGCTGTTAAATACTTTAATTCACCCATCACATTTTTGAAGCAATGGATATTTCCAGTTTAGTTCTTACTTTCCCAGTCTTCCAAAAAAGCAAGCGCTAAGCAGGCTCCTACATGACAGAACTTCCTAGACAGTATACTGAAACAAAAGCTTCCACTGGATGAGTCTAAACTCACCTGTCTTCTAAAGAGAGTACAGATGTTCTATTACTAGCAATACTGATTACATTAAACAAACATTTAAGATGATATTCCACATCATGGATGCTTTAAAACGCATAATCATTTCAAAAAGTAACTTCCCATTTCCCAAAAAATCAGTCCCACCATTCCCACAAGTTCATATCTGTACCTCTGATGTTGATCCTGCAGACCATCTACAGTTTTAACTCTGTCCAGTAAACTCTGAATTTCAGTTTTCTGTCTATTAATGATTTCTTTATACTTGGATAATTCATCTTCTGTTCTTAAACGCTCATCCTCTAGACACTTTACCTAAACAGAAAAAAACAAAATTTTCCCAAGCTTTGAAGCTGAATTATTTTGATCAGATGTCTGGATTTTTGTACAAAAACCCCACATTACATTTGCAAAAAACATCAAATTAAACAAGTGAGACTAACATTAGTCTTGTTCAGAAGCTCAAACTTACAAGACTAGTGCATTCAAAGACAGCATTTCCCAATTACAAACCCAAACCCCCTCTTTCTAAGGCCCCTCTGATCTCTAGTTTGAGGGACCAGCAAGATAACTCACAGACCAACTTCGGGAGATCTCAATTAAATGTTTCTTGTACCTTCTCAGTCTAATGAGGTGCATACCACGAAACAAAACTTACTGTGGGCCAGCAGCCACCAATAAAGGCCACACAGTCACAGTTATGTACTTCTGGTTTCATGCCAGTCAGTACCTAATCACATTTATTCAAAGAACTAAAACTACAATTAACAAATCGAACACAGTCTTGTTTCAAAAGCCAGCATTTTGCCTCTTGCTCCCCTATGATCCCACACACTACCTTTGTTCTCAGAGTTCGAAGCTCATCCATGCCTTCTTTAAACGTTCTCTTCAAGTCTTCCAGTTCTTTTATTTTTGCATGAGGCACCTTTTAAAAAAAAAAAAAAGAGTGAGATGTTGCCTAAGAAATCTAAACTGACAATGACATTTCCTGGGATGTCAAAGAAAATCTAGCTCAACGCAGGCCAACACAACAGCTCAGAGGGTTTAAGAAAGAACAAGTACTCTAAAGGTTTCCTGATTCTTAGGAAGAACTGAGAACAAAAACAGCATTCCACATTTTGGTTTCAGCTGTACAAGATTAACAGCCCAACAACTCCTGGCAAATGTTGACAGCAAAGAGACAGTTGTTGAACTGAATGTGACATATGCACATGCGATCAGGTACTAAATCATTAGAGAATTTAGCTTCTGGGACAGCAAGCTGCCACAGAGAAAAGAAGCTACTCTTAGCAAAACACTCAGAGAAAGACAATCCTGTCTGCGAATTTGTGCTCCAAATTATAGCAAAATTCATGTTTATAAATGAAAAAGCACTTATTTTGTTCTCATTGTACCATACTTTTTCTATAGCTTTGTCTTTAGAAAGTTCATCTGGGACAACAACTAAAAAACATCCTCCAGAAATGGGGGCTGGAGACAGACACCTGGAATAGAGTACTAGGCCAAGAAGGGGATGCCTGGCATCCCTTAGATACAAGAATCTTAGAAACTCGCAGGTTTCTTAACTACCAAGTTAGCAATTGTGCTATGTCCACATTTGTCTCCACAAATCACATATTTACCTCCAAGTGGTCAGATTTCTCCTGCACTTGTTTCTCTAGTTCTCCTTTAGTTACTTTGAATTTTGCATCCAATTCATTCGATCTAATTTCTTCTGATTCCTAAAAGGATAGAAGATACAAGGACAGTTTTATGGTTTTACATTCCCCTTTCCTGCTTTATGAGCAGAGACAGCTTTTCACATCACTGAACATGCTTCTGTAGGTAGGTATCTAACAGTTCTGAACATGTGAAGGAAGGCCTTCACGTAGACTGGATGCCAAGCATGACGAACTTTTTCCCTTTGCTTTACTTGGAAAGTTGATAAATAAATCAGTGATTGGTCACCTCAGCATTGCAGCTCCCATGGAATGGTTCTTTCTTGCTACAACTTAAGGCAGAGATGGAAGAAAAAAAAACAAAACAGATCCTAAACAGTAATTTCACCTCCTAAGCAAAAATACCTACTTGATAAGTTTTTATCATTTCTTGACAATTTTTCCTTATCTGATCTGCTTCTTCTTTTGCTTGAGTCAACTTTGTTGTTGCATCTTTGAGGCGCTCTTTGGATTCCTATGGAAACAGGAATGAAAAAGGTTAAGCTTACTTATCTGTCTTAATTTAGAAAAAGCATTTCTCATAATAAAAGTTATCTACTTCAGTTTGAAATGAATCAAAACAGGAAGTCCAGCTCCCCCCGGCTCACCAACACACACACACCACCTTTGCTTTTACTCAGGTATTGCTTTAATTTTGCCTGTTCCAGTACTGAAAGCACACAAAAATGGCCTGCATGCATTTTCTGATGACAAACACATTAAATCTATCACATAACTAATAAAGCAAAGAGTTAAACCTATCATACAAAGTCAAAATTAAAAAATGATCTTTTGAAAAGAATGATCAGATTGAAGTGATTCCCCCCAGCACAGACCCCTCACACCTCTCCAAATTTCACCTTCAATATCAATAAACTCAAGAGCACTACTGCAACTTGTTGCAGGTGTTCAAATAGAAAATATTCTAAAGCAGATTTTAGTACTAAAGAGTAAACCATATAGTAACTACACTGCTCTGACTGCAGTTTCATGTCATGATAGTACTTCACCAACCTTATGAGAATCCATTTCTGTTTTTAATTTGTTCTGAGCCCATTTTACTTTGATAACATGAGAATTGATTTCCTCTTTCAATTTTTCAATGTCTTTGTTGAGTCGAGTGACTTCAGCATCCTAAAAAAAATTCATCAATTTTATTTTACGGATTTCAATCATCCAGTGCTTCCACAACAAGACTCCTGCTGAAGGTAAACTGCACAGTTAACAATGTCTGGACTTTGTAAAGCCGTGCACAGAATTCAATATGCTCATGATACCTTAGTGCTCAAAAAAAACCCTAACACATCAGTGTTCTAGTCTGAGTAGTAAGGTAACACTGCACTGCTGTTAATACACACTAATGCCACAATTCTGTTTAAAGACAAAGCACAAAATAAATATCTCCTTAAGATGGCTTTTTGTTGCTTTTTTGGCAACAGGATGAGGAAACAGGCACAAAGCTGTATATTACACAAGGCCACAGATAGAAAACGAATGACATTACAACCATCAGGGTGCAGAGCAGTGTGAGCACTGTATGTGAATGCAGGTCAAACCATCATCATGTAAGTCAGTGTCAAGTAAGACCTTAGCAGAAGCACATTACTGGCCCACACTATTACAGACTTATCCACAGATCTGCCATTAAGCCAAACTTTCAAACTGTTTCTGAAGTGACAGGTTCACCTACCAAAAAAAGGTTTACAGAAGCACCATGTGAGAGCAGCACAATTCCTGTAAGGCTGCAGAGTAATTACGAGGGATTATCAACATACTTATTGTTTTACAACCTGAAGCCATGCCCTCATTTCCTACTTGTGAAAAAGGATAAATGAATTTTTGCTTCACAAATGTATTTTTATGGCTTTTATTACACTGCATTCTTCAGATCCTTCTTTGCTCAACAATTGTGCTTAGTAAAACTGCTCAAAAAGGACCCAAAATCAGCATGAACTCTACTGATTTATCAATGTGAGGGACTTCCACATGCAACAGAGTTGTGAAACCCAATACAGAAAGATCTGGAAAATTCAGGAGGCTGATGGGAATCTTACTGGCTTCTAAAAAAGGAATGTCAATATTCTGGAATCAGGACTGAGAAATCCTACTGCTGTATCTCCAATTTTTAGTAGTGTAAAAAATACAAAGTCCAGACAGAAAAACTTCAGTAGAGACTGCAACAATTTAATATCATTACAGCCTTTAAAAAGATACAAACAAGGAAAAAGATGACAGTAAGAAATCAGTTACTGCTCCCTTTCCTACAGCAGAAAGTGGTTTTTGCAGTAAAATCAAATGAAAACAGGCTTGTTTTACCAGGCATAATAGCAAACTAGTGTTGATAAGGTTGTTTGATAGTACTTTTAATCATTCACTCAAGTCACACAGCAACACTTGGAGCACCTTAGTTTCAAAGAGCTGGTGCAATCTTCCTTTTTCCTGAGAAAGCTGCTTAATCTTATTAGTGTGCTTTTCAATTTCTTTGTTTGCATCTCTCACTCTTCTCTCAAGTATCTCCTTTTCCTTTCGGAGGTCAAGTGACTCCTTTTCCCCTCGGACGTATTTCATCACCATTGTTTCCTTCTCATGGCGTGCTTCTTCACATTTCTTATTTGCCTTGAAAAATATTTAAATATGAAGCAAGGTTGATTCATTTTATTTTCCTTTTGTAAGACACTATTGCAATAGCTAAAATATCCAATAGATGAGCATAACAAAGTAGCTCAACAGCTCCAATTTTGCAAAGGTTAACATTAGATCCCCACTTAAGCATGACAAGAGTTCAACCAATTCAACTGGAATTACTCCTAACAGTCAATACCTACCTAAGCAGCTGCAGCTTCATAGCTGAACACCTCAAGCAAAGTACCTCTATTTTAGTAATTTTGAATTCAGTTGGTTATTTCAGAAGTAGTGTATCTGACAAGCTTTAGTAATAAAAACAATACTTCTGTAAAAACACAGTTTCAGTCCTGTCTTCTTGCCAGATGTCAACAATTCAGTGGCTTTTTTTTTTTTCAGATGGATTCACTTCTGCCCCAGCATTAATAAATTCTGCTTCATATTAAAGAAAAAAAATCAGGAACTGAGCTTTAAAACATACAATAAATACATGGCATAATATTAAGAAGGGAAAATTCCAAGCTCTCAGTAAGTCATGAGACAAAAAATAAGAGCTTTTCACCACAAAGCTGAAGAACACTTCATGATAACTTATGTGATAAGAAAGAGCCACTAGGAGCTTTTACCATCTCTTGAACTGAGATCAGCTTTCGGGCAAGGAAAATGAGACGTCCTGCAGGGCTGAACTGCATACACCCTGCTGTGTGCATTTGTAAGAAAGCATCAGTCACTCCATAATATTAACAGCTATTTAGAAATGTATATGTATATAATATAATATATAGAAAATATAGAGAAAGAAATATGAAGAAAATGTGTGTGTGTATATATATATATCTATATATGTAACTGCATGGTAGTAGTGCCTATTTTGATTTTTTTTTTACTTAACTACTTGATTTAACAATCAAGGCTGCAAGTTTCCTACAAAGATCAAGGTCACCCATGAGATGTTCAGTAATTAAAAGTTATTACCTGCTCCATTCGAAAGGCCATCTCTTTATGCAACTGCTGAATAGCATTTTTGGCTGCTGCATCTTGAGCTACAAGTTTGTCTTTATTAGCTTTCACTTCTTTATTAAGCTCTTCTATTCTTGCTTCTAGCTAAAAGACAATAGTATGATACAATTATAGGGAAAATAAGACTTTGATCATGTTGTGTACAGGCAGGACCAGTCACAGAAAATTATATGCTACAACAGATCTTCAGCAGTGCTTTAAGCTGCAAGTTACCATGCTAGCATCTAGCTTTGTACTGAAGTACAAGCATGAACATTGTATATTTTCATCTTATGTGAGACAACAGCACCAAACAAAGTAAAACAAGAGGCACAGTGAACTACAGAAAAAAAATAAGATTGACAGCAGATGCAGCAGAGATGGCTGCTGTACAGAGTTACTTTGTCTTCCATTCTTTGGTTGATATCCCTGTGCCATAACCCTGTGCCAGCAGAGACGTCACGCATCCAAACTGAACCAGCAATTAATTCATTGAAAAATAACTCAGCAAATACAAAGGTGGCACTTAGTCATTGTGCTGGCACGTATTTTTAGCCACCCAGCAAACTAGATCAGAGTCCTGATCCAGCTGCAGAGCAATTACTGACAGCCAACTGGAACACTTCCCAAAGCACATCCACTGCACAGCCACACAAGTGCAGTACAACAGAAAGCAGTGCAGCACTGGCACAAGGGTAAGTGCTACATAAACTGCAATGCTGTCCAAAGGTTGCTCTAATTGTTCCTTAATGATTACTCTCTTGTTCCAGGGAGGACCATTCACTGAAGTCTGCCTTTTTTATTTTATTGTGGGGGGAAAGGGTGTAAAAAAGTAGAGCTGTCAGGGCTAGTACTGCATTTTTGTGCAATTCCAAGCTATGACAAAAGACAAGAACAAACTACAATATTCGTTACCACACAATGAATGTGATCACATGCTCTACAATTTTGCAAGAGGATCATTCCCTAGCACAAGAAAACATTTCACATCTACAAGTGTACACATTCTGCTTGCAGTTTTGAGTACAGACAAACTTTCATTTACTTGAAAGCTACCAGGAAACACTTAAGTCAGGAATTATCACATTAAAAACACAATTCATAAATAAGAAAAACCTTAAGTGAATCTTACTCCAATGTATCACACAGCTCCAGTCACTATTCAGCTACGATATAAAAGCATCACACTCCAAACCATTATTTTGTGACATCACCTCTAAGCAAGCAGTGTCACACATCTTACTTATCTGACTCCAAACAGAAGTTTAACTCCTTCATAAATTTTGTTATAAGAAAGCAGTGACACCTGTTGCAGTATTTTTGATACTTCCTGCACTAAAGCCAGCCACACCAATGCAAAACCCATGTTCTTCTTTGGCCTGTCATGGCCCTGAACCACTCACTCACCAAATATCTGTATGCATTAACTGCTAATACCAAAATGATGTGTAAGATCATAGTCAATATGCTCTAGTCTTCATAGATATTCCACATATTATTAGCATTCACTACAGACAATACACTCACTCACTTCTATTAGCAGATGCAGTACTTAAGATTACCATGAAGAAATCAGGCATGATGAAACACTTGCATAAGATCCCCTTATGTTTACATGCAAGAAATAAATCACTTTATTAGGATAAGGGATTGAATTTGCCATTCTGCCAAAATGCACAAGATGCCTTTAGCAAACATACACTGACTTTAGCAGACAGCCAAGGTATGCATATCTTACTTAAACTGGGACTCTCTTGACTCCAAAAGACTTCCAGATACTGAACATGTAACCTGAGGTTTTGAACTCAAACCATTTAAAGATGCAAAGCATTTTTAGCCAGTAAATACTCAATGGGTGGAAGAATGGCTTCACCCTCATAAAACATTCAGGATGCCTGAGCATGGGCATTCCCACTTCATCCCTCTGCTACCAATACATCCTATTAAATGCTGGCACCATATAGGATACAATCTGCCACTTCTCTTTTGTTATCTGTACCTGTTTAATAATGTTAAGGTGCTGCTTTTCTGTTTCTGTCCGTTTTTTCAATTCGTCCTTCAAGTTGTCCTTCTCTGAGCAGATTTCCAAAATCAGTTCTTGATGTTTTTTATTTTCTTTAATCAGTCTGTAAAGAAAAAAAAGAAATAAAATATGCTACTTCCTTTGTTTGTCTTAATTTTAAGATGCATGTTTTTTCTTCCTGATTTGGAAATGCATTGCAACTACAGCCAGAAACATTAACTAAATCCACCAAACTCTTACAAAATGAAAAGACTAAAGTAAGACTAAAAGCTGAATCTTAAACCAGCACCTTGTGAGAAAACTGCTTGCTTCCAGCATTTTGGGGCTGCTAATGTCCATGATGAAGCGAGACATTTGATGCCTCCACACAACTAACAGAATCAGCAGCAAGCTGTGTAAAGGTTAATATTTTAAGGTACTCACAGACACCAACTTCCAACCACGCAGCTCCCCCCAGTCAAAGGTCTGAAAACACAGGTACTGTATTCCTTTGTGAGCTGGCATGAACTGTTCAGTGACCCACAAAGTTCAGAAGATGCTAAGAAATGGAACCCTGTTCCATATACAACAGTGATGGTGTCCATGCTCATATTCCTAAAGCATTTTTTTTTTAGCTACAATTTGTTTCCTTGCAGCTGTTTGAAGCCTGAGTTTAAGCTAACACCTCAACAGTAACATGCTTAGCTTGAGCTTCTAGCACTGCAACATAAGGCAATCATACACAAAACTCAGAAGTAGGACTGTCAGAATTGCTGAAGTCTGAAATGAATTCAAGTGTCTGAAGATGCAGGTGAATAGTGGATATTTGCAAAAGGACCTAAGCAAATTAATTGCATGAATTTGCGAGAGGTGTACATTTACCCAAACAAGATATTGAAACATCCCTTCAGATACAAACTTTCATCTTTTAGCTTTTAGCTTCCCTTTCAGGAAATATCTTTGAACAAACAAGGCCTTAATATTACAAAGACTTCAAAACCACCAGCAGTGAAAGAAAGCTTTGATTAAAAAGCAGTTCAGAAGTAATGACTACTCCAAGATTACAGATCCTAAAAGCAGACTGGGATTCACACAACTATTGCTCACTTATGTACTATTTCTGATCATAAAAGACAGCTGGGCTATTTTCCAAAACAAGGTTAAAGGAAGTTCTGCTGATCGTAAGTGAAGGGACAAAAATCAACCACTCAGAATGCCCTCTGAACCAAATATATTAAGTGCTCCACAGCAGCTCTGTACCCTTGAAGCAAGTCCCTAAAAGTCACTACTCCAGGGATAACAGCTGGCAGAGAAAGAGAAACTGAAGATAGATTTACATTTAAAAAACGGTATGTATGCAATAATTACATCTATCTGCACAGAAATTTGTCTGTAAGTAGTTGATCCACTGCTGTGAAAAATTCTGGCCTGCCTTTGAGTTTACTGTAAACAAATACATTAAACCTAACTTGTTCACTTACCATCTTCTGGAGTTAGAACCATCTACACATCCAACAGTTCAGATTGCCACTCCTCCCCAACAGTTAATGACCACCTAACCACACATATCCAAGCCTTCCTGTCATCAACTTCCCTCACTCACATTCTATGCCAGAGGTTAACTGGGAAGGTACAAGAGAACACTGTCTCTACTTTTTGGGAGTCTCTGCACCTGTTTTTCAGTCCCTTTGCTGTCCTCCCCTACTATGCTACAAGAATGTCTCTTTTGAGGAACATTACACTCATTTCCAGTTCTGTAAGCAGGCGTAGAAGTTTGATCTAAGCACATATTTTTCCTTACATGTACATAACACAATAGGTAAAAATAATTCCTCATTTAAAGAAAATTCTTAAAAGTCATTAACTGTACTTTGAACTCACAGAACACTAGCTGTTTCCTAACACAAAGCCACATTCACACAACTGAAACTGTTTGGTATACACCTCCCTATTTCTGATGAGAATACTGAAACACTCACTTTTTTATAGTTTGCTCCTGCTGCAGGTATTTATCTTGCACGCATTTATCAAACACAGCCAAGGCATGTTCACCCTTCCTCACACCATTTGGGCATTTGCATTCTTTGGAAAACTCCGTAGATAAGAGTTCAGATTCTATTTCCTTCAGCAAATCCTCCTGTGAAGAAGTCTGTTGTATTGTGGAAATAAGCTTCTTTGTGCAGTCTGTGTCATAAGGGCTTTCCGAATAGATTTTATCACTAGATTTTCTCACAAAGTCCGATTCCTCCCTCAGCTCCTGCAGTAGTTCTATTAATGATTGTTCTGTCTGATTAGTTTTTGGATCTCGTCCAAATTCTTCACTAGAAAAGGACCCTGTTTCCATGGAGCCTTCCACCCTTCTTTCAGAGCAGGTATTGGCACTACAGGCTTGCCCTTCTCTGTGGTCAAGAGCAGCACACTGCTGCTCCTGCCTTTCCGTCGGGCCTCCACCACCACTCGCGTCAGCAGCTGCTGAATCTTGGTCTGAGGACAACAACCTCGGTTCTGCTCCCAAAACACCAGCATCATCTCCAGTGCAACTGATGCCTGAGCAGCCCTTCATTCCAGCTGTGTCACCCGACTTCTTGCTACCTGACGACTGGTAAGAGGCCTCCTCTGACAGACCGAGTGGCTCCAGCGTGCTCTGCATTCCTGGTGAATACTCCTCCATCGTATTCCTGCAGAATCTAGAAGAACAACTCACATTAGACAACATATTATGATCCAAATCAAAATGAAAACTGAGAAAGGAGAAAGAAAGGCTACTGGAAGGGAAAATGCCATGGGCAAAAATATTTAGACACAGGTGATTTTAGCATTAGTAATTATTTTAATCCAGAAAGAATCCAAGTAATCACTCCTGAAAAAAAAAATCAAACATTAAAAGAACAAAAAAATTCCAGAAACCATGCTTTCATTTTCTATGTGTGATTTGAAAGCAGTAATATGCCCTCACTCTTTGTTTTAAACAAAACAGGGTGACTCCCTCATTCAGGTCACAATACACTTCCTTATTGTCACATCCCCACCTACTCATTCACACAGCCAAACCTATCTGTACCCAACAGCTCAGAAGAAACAGGCTCAGGGTGACATTCTCTTTTCCCCTTCCACTTGCAAGCAACAGAAACCCCTCTGGATGAGCACAGATGGTCTGCAGCAGATTTGTGCTCTCAAAAAATAGCTTGCAGAGCAAAAACTTGAGGAGTTGAAAAGCTACGTAGGAAGGGCTCTTTTTAGAAGGACACCATACCGTGATCCAGATCACCAGATTTTTGGAAGAGCCTGGGTATAATGCTGCATCTTTTTCAGTATCCCAGATGGTCAGGTGTCTGGAAAGACTGCTGGCATTCTTAGCAAGCACACAAAGCTCTTAACATACTATTTCCATCAGCAGAAATTCATTACAGCAGTCATAACTTTCAGATGCAATCTCATCCTGCTATTACTGGATAAATTAGTCTATGTATAAACAGAAGCATTTTTTCTTTAATTTACAAATTCAGCTTTGCTTTTCCAACAATTACATCAAAAGCAACTTTGCCATCTTGCAACAAGAGGCATTTTTATACTTGCTTTCTCTCTCGTGCTTCACACAAAGCCGTTCAGCTACATGCTGCAGAATGCATTTGGACTCAACCTGAAAGGAAACCCTTTGTAGCACTTGCCTTCTCCAGAGCCTCTGCCTTATTAACCAACATTAAGTACTGAGCCTTGTACCACTAAGACAGTGGGACACACAAATTCCATCATAACTGTGACTTATTGCTACCATTGTCACCTTTCTCTATTCGGAAGAAAATCAGATAAGGAAAAAAGCTGCAGCCTCAGCTGGGCTGTTTCTACCTGGAAATCCTAGCAAATGAGTCCCACTCCTACTCCCCAAACCCAGCATCCGTTCATCAACAAGAGGAAGCTATAAATTGAACATAGGACTGAGAGTAAGAAAGGGAACATGCTGTGGTGATAGTCACAAATCATCAAAAGACAATTCTACACCTTACAGTAACAAGCAGACGACTTCTCTTTGGTTTATAAAACAAATCTGAATGATGCATCCTGTCCATGATGTCCACCCAACAGGACAAATCAATAGGAACAACAATGAAGCAACAAATGAACACAGAGGTGGGAATGTGGGTGTTTTCAATATAACAAACCATGTGAAACTTGTGAAAGTTTCCCAAGCTTTACAAGGATATTAGCAAAATCCATCACCCCACCCCTTTGCTTCCAAATATTTACACATCAGTCAGTCCTGGAGCCAACAAATCCATCCACTTTGTTTGCACAGCCCAAACAACTGCTCTTTGGGTATCTCTACTTTTTGATAACTTCTCCCAGTAACAAAAGGGCAGCGTGCTGTTGTTGCTCTAAAAACAAACCAAACCCACAGACAGCCTGTATCAGCAAAGAAAATGAATGCAGCTAAAAGAAAATTATTCAGCTTGATAGCAGCCGAACAGAACTTGCTCCTACTTCATTAAAAAGCTGTTAAAAATAATGATTTGAGACCAGCGGATTTAAGAGTCAATAACCATGAAATAATGTGCAAATGTGCAGTTGTTCACATTCCTGTCACAGCTTGCAGTCCCCACACTCAGCAGACCTGGCCATAGAAAACTGCAGTATTAGCATAAAGCCAAAGCACAATTTTTTTCAATGGCAGTCAGTGTTGTCTAAGTTCTTGCTGGCACTCTCTCTGCAATGATCAGAGAAAATCTTTGGCTTATTTTAAGCCCTTTCTGATGTACTTCCTAAAGCATTATCAAATCCCCCAAACGCATCGCTGTTAGATGTGTTACTGCCTCAAAGCTGCTCCTTGCTGCCCAGTGCAGTTAACTCCCACAAGAAGTGGTAAGATGAGGCATGGGAACTTGCAGGTTGCTTGTCATATCTAAAATTTCCAGTCCAGTCAGCAAACCAGATGATATTTCTCCTCATAAGACAGCAACAGGTGAAAAATAGAAACCGTATATTAGCAAGAACACTCATTTTTCATCTTATTTCCTTCAGCAAATGTAACTGTGAATTAACGTTAGAGACTAAGACAAATCTCTCTGGAAGCAGAAATAAAATTATTTGCATAATTCAAGTAATTGCAGAGCAATAACACACCACTGACTCCACGTATGATGGGCTATCATCAAGTGTGAACAAAGTTTAGGTTCTGAAATAACTCATGGGAAAATCAAACAGTGACTGCACTGATCTTTTAAAGCATGAAGAGTAAATTAAGAGCAAGTCTAGAAACACTGAATGCTTAACATTTCAGTGCTGCCCAGAATACAAGTTACTACATTGAAAGCATCCCCAGCCTTTCCAATGCCAAACTACTTTACATTTATCCACTCACATCTATATGAAGCTGTTCATGCCCTACACAATTCTCCTCTCCTACCATCACTAAATAGGACAAGTTTTCATGTTTGAACTACTATCTTTGAAATAGAAATAAAACTTCATCAGTTTATCTTCATATTGGAGTAACTGCCAATTCCAGCCCACCCTGACCATCAAATAGGTCTCCTGCATATCCCAAGTTTGCCACCATCCACATCAGACACCAAAATAGAGTAGATAAGACCAGACAGAAAACTGCAATAACGACTGTCAAGAAAAGGCTCCCACTTCGTACACAAAACTCTTCATGCTAAAGTAACTTAACAGCATCGACACCACAAAGCTAGCTGCAGCCAGCAGAAATGAAATGCTACCCATTCACATCAAACATGCAAATACAGCAGGTCCCAAGTCAGGCACCTAATTAGACAGTAGCTGGTGGCTTTTCTATGTTTTGTATCCACCTTCTACTATCTAACATATTGCTATAAATGACTCTTCCAAAATCTAGGGAAATAATAAAGTCGTGGTTTCACTTTCTTACCCAATACTGCATGGAGAAAAGAAGATACCTTGGTGCTCTTAGCACTATCTTCAGAAGGTGCCTGCAGGCCTGCACCTAGAAATCAGTGAAAGCCAAGTGCTGCCAGGCACACACTGCATTCTCCAGCTTCAAGCAGCTGCCCTGCTCCTCCTTCCTCAGTGACTGAAGCCGAGCAGCACAGAAGTACCTGCTTTACCATCACTTCCCTATGAGACCTGACACCAGCACACCACCCCTCTGCTGCCCGCACTGCAGCCGGATGTAACCACCATCGAGTTTCTATGGAACATCCAAGGAGGAAAAGTCTCCAATTACCATTTCAAGACAGACCCAGCCCCAGCATGCCTGCATACATGCCTGGAATACCCAGTCATCTCCGGAGAGCGCAGCACGTTTGGTGCAACACGTGCCAAGTTGCGCTGGCCCTCAGGTTTCCTGCCAGGCCTGGCACTCATACAGAGGGTCTGAGCAGCCCTCCTCCCAGCCTGTCTCACATCTCCCTACCTGCACACATCCGGAACAGGTTCCTGTCCTAATGCACAGTGCCAAGAAGGCAGCTGTCTGCGTCTTCCCACAGCAGAAACAGAAAGCAAAGCAAGAGGTAATGCCCGATTCAAAACGTGGTGATAGGAGAAGGAGGAACGGCCACCCAGCCAGCCTCTCCTGCAGCCCCACTGGGCCCAGGAACAGAGCACAACCCACCCAATGCCTCACTGCACTGTTACACTGCAATACTGTCACGTTCACAAAAACCAAAACTTGGGTAGGTTGTTTTTTCTTCTTTTGTAGAGACTGTTTTGATTCTCACTGATGTATTCTTCAAAGAAGCACGCAATCCTCCACCATTATCTCACAGGATTTGCAGTAATTAAATTTAAATCTGCATCAACACATGTCCAGTCTAGCTATTACATTGGTACTTGGAGAAGTAGCTTAACTTCTGCCACAGCACACAGAACATTCATGGTTGTCACTGGAAGGTTTGCAACTCTCTCATGCTACTGTAACTGAGATGTGCTTGTCTGCCAAATTGCTGATAGCAAAACTGACTGGGATTAAAATCAGGAAGATTTTGATAGCCTGCAGATACAGTGAATGAACAACACAGCAACTTCTAAAGGAAGTCGTGTCTCACATCCATATGTGAAAGCAAGCAAAGACTCAGGAAATGAGCAGTATTTTTTTCACTCACTGTCTTTAGAACAGAGAAACATCCTCCATACACTGCTGATCAAGTGATAAGAAACCCTGATGTGACAGACATTCAAGCTCTTCAGTTAAGCATCTGCTACAGGACAGGTATTGATGATCTAGAGTGAACACTGAATACCTTGACACACAATCCTGCAAAGTGACAGAGACAAAAATTCTTCTAGGTCTTCTTCAGCAGCAGGCGCTGTAAGAGACTATTAAGCCCTGACCTCAGATAAGGTCTGAATGTACAAAAATGCTTGCAAAACTACTGCATGTAAGAAGTCAAAACTTACAGTCTAGTGGAATTCATTTGGATTATGTTCATTTACATTCCACTGTCTGCAAGCAATCTATCTCAAGGTTTAAAATGACTTAAAAATCAAGTCAAATAATGTTTAATATTTAGCTACTTCAGCAGTACAGTCCTGATCTGTAAACTAACCAGCCAGTAAGATAAAGGTCTTAACTTATCCCACTAAATCCAGCTGCTAAGCAGACAAGTCAAGCAGCTCTTTTCCTTAGACAAGATTTGCTCTCACTTCTGCAACCTGAGCACATAATGTGCTACACCATGTCAGTGTGATCTCAGAAATAACGTGTATAGATAACTACAGTACTGTATCCTTGCTATGATGATGTATTATGTCAGTTAGGTACTTGCTCATAATTCTATTTTTACAGGGAAAGAGAAAGAATTAGCAGAGCCCGCGATGGTATCTCTGAACATTTATCTGCCTGTTTACTAATCCAAGATTTATCAGTATATATAGAACAAATGTGTAACACGTGATCAGACATTCCTATCAATAAGTGCATAGGTATCAGAATACATGCTAGCAATGGGGAGCTTCTTGCAGGTACAACTCCATTAACAAGATTATGAATAAAAAACATTTCAGATGATACCTACATTGAACCACCATTCTAATTCCTCAATCCAACTTAACTAGAAGAACGCTGTTTGAAAATTTAAGAATTCTGCATTTCCTCTGTATTAACAGAGAGTTAAGATCTATCTTTTTAACTTCCAAGTTAAAGCATTTTCTCCTTCCTGCTCTCCTCTTCTGTTTCATTCTGCTTATTATCAACCATAAAGCGAAAACAAATTCTCAATTCAGAGTCCATTCACCGACCATGGGAAAAAAACCAGTTGTTTCTGTAACATGCAATCCTGCCTTTTCCTCTGCTGACAAGTACTTACTACTGATGAAAGATGTTCAGGACACATTCTTCCTTGGGCTGTCCATCAGGCAATCCACTATACCATTAAAAATCTTCACTCTCTGCTGCGTATTTCCCAGCCACTGAAAGATAACTGACAATGAAAAATAACTCACAATGAAAGTAATTCCCCATGTGCTTCTCACTGTTTGCACAACCCTAAGGGGAACACAACCTTCTACAGCCTGCTGGCCTAATATTACAGACATGCACCGACAACTTGGTACACTTGATTCAATGCCATGCCATTTCCAACTGCCTGTCTTTTCGGTCTCCTTAAGAAACACAAACACAACTCTTTTAAATCCTGGACCACAAGGAACTTCCTAAGCAGATGCACTATTAACGTTACACTGCATAAAACACACAGTTTGATCCAGGCCATGCCATTCTTACCTTCTAAAATGGAGAACAAAGAGGCTTTATTTCGGCCAAATTCAGGACATTTCTAAAGGAAACTAAATGACAGAACAACAGGAAGTATTTTTGAAGTTTGGCTATAGAGGAAATTTACTGTCAATAAGGGGAAAAAAAGAACTGTATCTTGTCATCTGGGAACTGCCACATTTGGACTTTTACCAGAAATAGAGCAAAGAAGGACAGAAGTGTGTGCCTAGGGTGGTATTGTAAGCAAACAGACTGGCTGTGAAGGTCCCACAAGATAAAAATCACTGCTGGAACAGAAAAAGAACATATTCAGGCCACAAAGCAGAGCTACACAGTCAAGAAAGGGGGACAAAAAAGGGAGGGAAGGAGCAGTGCTTCTGGAGTGCACACATTTAACAAAGATCTGTTCAAAGCAGAGTGGATTTTACAAGAGTGAAAAGTATTTTGAGGCATATAAGGTTCTGAACGAGGAGTAAATATTCTGTTAGCAAGAAGTTAATACGATAAATGTAGTTTACTGAACAGCAGACATACTCAACCACCCATCAGACAATATAATGGTCAGCTACAATCAATTACATCAGTTCCTTTTGAAATAAAGGGTCTGCATCATGTTTGGATAGATGCTTTCCCCCATAGCTGTGCTATGAGACCCTGTAGCAGAGCCACTTGCAAAGACAGCATCACCTCCTCTCCACCAAATGAGCATGCACACAATTTTAAAAAATAAATCACAAAGCCACAGTTCTCACATCATTAGCCATGACCACATGGGCTCTCCGCTTCTGGAAACCTGAAGAGCATTCAAAGTCCCATAATATTAGAAAAAAGCTTATTTTTAAGCAGAAGCATAACCTGAATTTACAAAACTATCTTCATTTCATATCTGTCACAACAGAGCACTCAGACTTCCTTTAAGCAATGGACTGAAGACTAATGACCCAAAGCTGCAGTGGTACATTTCAGAGCGTAGGTGGGGAACAAGGGGAGAAGTGATTAAGCATTCCATGGCTCATGAGCAGATGATGCCAAGAGTCAGCAGGGTATGAAGTACCATGATCAGGCCAGGCAAATGGACAAGCAACAGAAAACTCTGGTGCCACTGACACAAGAAGCTCACATTGCCAAAGGTAGGAATCTCAGGATGGATGTCACCTCAGTATGTATATAGTCACAGTGCCACTGTAGCTTCTACTGTAAACCAAATAAACAATGACACCTCTAAACAAAGTCAGTAGATTTAAAGGAAAACACCTATCTGTAGAACTGTTGCGCCCCCCCCCCCCCCAGCTTGCTTCACAGCAATTATCTCTACACTGTAATTTGAAATCATTATTTCTCAGTCCTTTCTCAAGCTCTGCACTGGACCAATTGCTGCTGTTACTTATTTTGCTTTTCTAGATGTTATCACACCAAAGTAATCTCCGCTGGAGATTCACCATAAAAATCTGGGTAAACACCCTTAAACATTTAGTCTCCTCAAATGGCCTGTAAAACTCACTAACCTTCCCTATCTGTACTGGTTTCTGAACTCATGGCAAACTGAAGTAAGAGAACCTTACCTCCTTCACTATGCAATTCAGCTAAATCAAAAGGGACAGGGATGGAAAGGTGCACAAGGCCAGACATTTCACAAACTAGCAACTGACATAAACTCAAAGCCAAAAAAAAGCCACCTATTCTCTTAGTTACAAAAGCAGAACGGCATGCCACCCAGTTTTAGAAGTGATGAAATAGCAGAATAAGGAATAGAGTTGAAAAAACATCAAAATATTTAAGAGAAAGCCAGAAACTGAACAGCTCTAGAAGAGATGATGTTCACCAACACCTCCTGCTTACCACACAGAACTGACAGAGGATTGCCATGAGGTCCTGTGCAACCAAAACACAGGAAGGCCAACAGTGTACCATGTAGCAAACAGAAGAAAACACCTGAGTCCCACCTGTACTGGACTCCCCCGCCATTAATTTACTTTCACCCTAGACCTAATACAAGATACTGGTTCTAAATTGAGCAAAATACACAGGACTTAATGAGGTATCAGCCAATAGAGCTGAGAGGGAAGATGTAACAACGGTCCCATCTACACTGAAAAACTAGAGGACTCCAGTGCAGACAGGATTTGTGTGATTCACTGTAGAAGCAGCAAAGCTGTCTGTGCTGGAACACCAAGTTCTCCAGACCAGGCGTAACTTTACACAGCTCCCTGCTGCAGCTCACACAAAGACTTGCTTTGATTTACATTCCTGGAGAGAGAGAGAGAAGCAGATGTGTGTGTATACACAGTGGATGCTCTCTAGATTTCGCTGCTTTTATCAGTGTAATACTTAAGCTCAATTATGTTTCTTCAAATCTTTATATAAATGCTGATCGTGTGGCCCCAAGGCAGTGTCAAAGTACAAAGCTCAGTATCACCACCAATTCTTTTGGCATGAGTCAAGTACAAGGATTACTCATATTTCAACTTTGCTTAAGTCACCAGTTAAGTAGTTGAGCATTGAATGAATTCCTTCAAGGTATTGCTAGGTTTTTCTCTTGATCTCTTTCAAGTGGTTAATATCATGGTCACATTAACTCCATATTCAGAACCAAGTAACAGCACAACTCTAAAATAAAGTTTACCTGTTAAGCTTTAACAAGCGGGACTGGATTTGTTCCCCTTTATAACACAAGTCATTGGGTATGCTGCGAGGCTGAGGTTTTTGGTTGTTTCACATACTAGACACAAGGTTAGAAGCCCGTGTCTCAGGGAAAAACATTTACTAACAGGCTCCTTCTACCTGAAACTACAAATAAAACTTCAATAATTAAGGGATTACGCACAGACTTGTAATCTTCTGACACTTGTTTTTCAGTACACAACTCTTCCAAGCCAACTAGTCTCACTTACAGCACTCAGCAACAAAGGCAATACCAGAAACAGCGCCTCGATAACCTTGCAGGAGGTTTAGAATCACGCCTTCAACTCTGTTCAGAACAAGGCTAAGTTAGCAGCCAGCTAGTTATTATCGCTGTCATGTCTGCATTCACATTCTGACACTGATATCATCATTTATGCAACACAGAGTGCATTAAGGGAAGGAAAGAAATGCAAATTATGACTGAGATCACAACATAGACAAAGCACATGTTCTATGACAGGGCTTCTCCTTTGTACACTGAGTAATAAGCCTTTTCTGTAAGGTACAAATTACACACTGGCACACCTTACAAAACTGTAGTGTCACACAAGATACTGGTCTTAGCTTGCTGGGCACCAAAGGTGCCAGTACATTTGCAATCCATGGCTATTTTCAAAGGGCATCTCCAGAACACAACCAACCACAGCATTACCACCTGCCTGACCTCTGCATACTGAAAAACACCACTCATGAGGATGGTAAGGCACTACTGTTTCCAAATCTGATCTCCTTGCAGAGTTTCTCCAGCATCCCTGAGGGAAAAGCAAACAGACAAACAGAAATAAGGAAGTCTTCAAAAATCTGAATGAATCAACCATTTGCTCTAGAAAGAATGAACTTCTGATAATTAATACGAGAGGAACTATTATCTACAATACTTCATACACTTCCTGAAGTCAGGACTGTGATTTCTCCTGCATTTCCAATCTTCAGAGGCTGGTTTGTTTCTAAGGAGACTTTTTTGCTTTCATTCGAGGCAGCAGAGTCTCAGTCTATGGTTTGAAGATAAATTATCCAGTAGGCTTTCCAATATTGTTTTTTGCAGAGAAAAATACATTCTGAAGAAGCCAAAACAGAACAAAGTATAGGACGTCACCTACTGTTGGAGCCCAGATATTAACAAAAATTGCAGACTAGTCATTCACCATATTGCCTTTTGCCTAACAGCAATCGGGTATCCATAAAAAAAGTTTACTATTTTTTCACAGCTCTTTAAAATGTCAGCTTGAGGAAGTTCAATATTAGCCTAAGGCAGTGATAAGCAACATAGCTATCAGGACCAAATAAACCATCCTCTGTATTCTTTGATTTCTCGGTCCTCTTCTCAATGCTTTGAAAGAGCAAATCTCACCATACCAATAAATATCTGTCAACAATTCCAAATCAAGTAAGCCTTTCAAAACAATAGAAAATATTGTTTTAAAGCCAAGAATGGACAACTGAAGGATTTCAGAAAGAGAAGAACTCAAAGGCAATACAGTCCAAGTTTACTTTCTTTTTTAATGAAATAGATGGCATTATAAATACCGCCTCTTGGGTTAGACCGCCTCTTGAAGCACCCTCAGAATTCCAATTTCTTATGCTTTCAGAGCTCAACCACCTCTAAAGTGAACAGCAACATAAGCACTCCCAGGAGTTGGTGATTAGAGTGATTACCTTTCCTTTTCAATATAAAAATACAGCTGCCTTTCATGCTGTTTCAGCTGTAACCTTACACAGCAAGCCACAGCAGTCACGTGGATTTCTCAATGCTCCGATTGTCACATTTTAAGTCCTGAAAACCAACTTTACAACACACAGTCAACCTACAATAGAGGCACACTATTACATTTCCCACCTTACATACAGATCTCAGTCTTACATGAGATCCTGTCCTGCTCTGCACAACCTCCCTGCAAGCGCGCCTCTATCAGACCCACCCCGGCAGGTTGTTAGGCAGGACGTAAGCCCAATCCCACATTCCAACACCGTGACCATCTCGAAGTCACAGCAAAGCTTCCAGATTCCAAACCCAGAAGAACAAGCAGCTCCCGCAAATGCCACCTGCAGAAACAACGACAGTACGGCAGCGCTGCAGCGGCTCTGGAACACGACCTTCCTGCTAACGCACCAGCCGCTGATCTTCGTAACCGCACAGCGAAATCACAGAACACCGCAGAACCAGACGGCACGACCTAATTAGCAGCACGAAGAAAGCTGTCAAGAGACAAAGCGGCTCCCGGCAGTCCCTGCTCAGGGGGCGCAGCGCTGACCGCCCCGCACCGGTGTCGCCTCCCCGGCCTCCCTCAGTGCCCCCGCCTGCCTCCAGGAAGCCGCCGCGAGACCCGCGGGCACCGGCGGCCCCCGAGCGCTGAGCCGCGCCGCCTCACCCGGCCCGCTCTACAGCCTCTCAGAACGCAGTGGGGCCGAGAGCCGGCGGCACGCGGGCACCCCGTTCCCAACTCACCCGCCTCTCCGCCGCGGCCCGCCCCGCGCAGGGCGCTCACCGTTCGCTACGAGGCGGACAGAGAACGCGCCAACCGCCCCATGGCCGCGCAGCCCGACCGCCTGACACATCAACAAAGATGGCGGCGGGCGACGCGACGGAGGGACCCGAGGGGGGCGGGGCTACGGGGGGGTGGGGCCGCGGGGGCGCGCAGGGGTGCGCGGGGGCGCGCAGGTGGCAGGTGAGGGCGCTCAATCGTGTGCGAGCGTCGCACGGAGTAGTGAAAAGTTAAAACGAACATCGCTTTGCCCGCAGCCCCACCGGCGTTCCTTATGTGGCTCCTCAGCGGAGCTCTCCCTCAGGCAGACGAAAAGGGCTCTTCTTCCTCGGCTCCCCGCAGCCCCAGCGCTGTGCCTCAGGCCATTCTGCTTCTCTCAGAATACCAAACTTGTGCCAAATTTCCGTCTCAACGCTGCCGTACCCCCAGGAGCAGCTGCAGATACTCAGGAAAGATAACAGCAGCGGCACAGTGAGCCTTCCCTGAAGTGCTGCAAATTAAATGCGAATGATTGAATTAGCTTTGCTCTTGGTGAGCCAGCAGCAGCTCCTATTCGGCAAGCACAGATGGGACGGAAGGCAATTTCTGAGTGAGGGAACTCACCTAAAGCAGTCATACACCTCAGCCTGCGCTGCAGGCATCAGCTCTGCATTGCAGAGGAAGCAGCAGAATGTGCCCTGGTTTTCCAAAAGGTTGCAGGTGGGGCTTTGGGCCCTTTTGTCTAAGAAAATAAAAGCGTTGATGTAATTTCCCAGTTTCTAGCTGGAATTTGTTAACTATACACAGCATCTTCATAGCTCTGTCCACCACAGGGGCTTGCAATCCTTCCTATGTTCTCAGCTTCAGGTGTGGCAAGTGGCAGCATCCCCACTTTGAAGGCTTACACGAACAAACAGGTGGCAATAAAATGTGCTGCAGGCTCAGCTGGAGGGATATAGCTGGGAGCAGGGGCAGCACTGCCTGGCTCCCCTGCTCTGCATCTATCAGCAGGACAGCCTGTTGTAATGTCATTACTTCAAGCTGATGGAATTCCACATAATGGCAAGGTTGCATAAAGAGTTATTATTTTGTTCATTAAGAATTGCTTTCATTAAGTAACTATTTTATTCTCGGGCTTGCTGTGAGTCTTCGGGGCACATCAGGAAGTGGGCATGGTGCTGGTGCTGCAGCCTGGCTCCTCCTGGTGTGTCTGATTTACACAGGATATCATTCACTCCTGTAATTACACAACTGCTCTGAGTAACTCGTACCAGGAAAAAGCTATTTCCATGACATGTTGTTTAGACCGTCCTTTGTTCAGCATGCGGCATAGCGGTGCTCCAGCTACTTCCAAAGCACTTGGATACCATACATTAGAGCTAATTGCACCTGCTACCATATTACAAAACCTTCACGCAGGCCCTGACGAGTTGTAGGCAAAGCTGCATTGACCTCCTGCAGCTCCCGATCAGCCTTCTTCCCATTTACCTTTTCCCACTGCAGAAGCCAGGCCTGATGTTTCTCCATTTAAAAATAGTTTCTACTGCTGCCAGTTCCTGCCCTTTCTGGTCTGCTGAGGCTCAATCGTTCTTTGAAACTTTTCGCAGCAAGAAAGCTTCATGCCAGCTCACATGCTGCTGAAGTTCTGTTCCCAGCAGGACACTCCATCCTCCTTTGGTTGCACCCTTTCCTGCCAATATTCTGTATCATTAATTAGCGTTGTTCCCAAAGGCTGGATGTGGCAGCCTGGTCTGGTGGTTGGAGACCCTGCACACAGCAGGGGGAATGAAACTAGATGGTCACCGTGGTCCTTTTCAACCCAGACCATTCTATAATTCCACAATGCGATTACATGGCAGTGCACACTGGCGGAACTATTTTGATTCACCCTCGGGGATGGAAGTGATCAGCCAACAAAAACGGAGACATTTTAAGTCACAGAGATTTCCAGCCTTTGCTGCGATCCCTTTACCCAAAACTCAAACGCCTGATAACAGATACTTATTGACCCCTTGCACCGAGTTTCTTCGCACACCTCCCGCACACGCACTGCGCACACCGGCCGGCCCGGCCCGAGCCTGGCGGGCAGTGCGCGCGTCCCGCCCCGCGGAGCGCCCTTACTTCCGGGGGCGGGGTGCGGCGCGGCGCTCAGCGGTGCGGACGGAGGGAGCGGAGCAGCGAGGTTTGCGAGTCCCTGAGAGCTGGTCCATGTATAGCGGCTGTGGCTGGTTGGAGTGAGCTCCTCCAGAGAGAGCTTCCGCAGTTCCATAGGCTTCAGGTCCCACCTTCAGGTTGTCCTTTCTAAAGCGATGTTTAGTCTTAACTTTAGAATGTGACTTTAATAAGTGCCTGAATTTATTTATTTGTTTATTTAAATCTGTGCTCCTGCAGCTGCAGCCCGCTTGTCCTGCGTCGAGGGGGTCATCGGCAGCATGGCCCAGGCACTGCCTGTGAAGGATGCAGGTAACGAGGTGCTGGTGAGGACTGAGAATGTCAGCTTTCTGAGGAGCTCCTCTCTCAGCTGGGAGGCTGACCCTGTGAAATATCTAACAAAAATCAGTGTTTTGTTTGCAAATAATAACTTTTTCTCACTGATGGCAGTCATAGAGTCAAGGGATGGAAGGGAGCTCTGAAGATCAAGTCCAACTCCTCTGCTAAAGTAGGTTCCCTACTTCAGCTTGAGAGCAGGAAAGTGACCAAGGGGGGTTATGAATATCTCCAGACAAGGAGACTTCACCGCCCCTCTGAGCTTGCTCTGTAGCCCTTGCAGTAAAGAATTTGATGTGTTCCAAGTTTCTTCCCACTGCCTTTTGTCCTATTGCTGCATGTCACTGAAAAGAGCCTAGCCTCATCGATTTCACTTCTACGCTTTAGATACGTGTTAATGAGATCTCCTCTGAGTCTTCTTCAGGCTGAACAGTCCCAGGTCCCTCAGCCTTTCCACATGGGAGATTCTCCAGGCCCTTAATCATCTTTGTTACCTTATATTGCAGCATGGGAATGAATAACTGCAATAAAAAATAGATTTTATCCATATGTATTTTAATTTTGTTCTTCTGTAGTTGTGTATAGACTTGATCATTATGCAGATTACCAATATGAATGTGGCTTGTAAACACAACTAACTCCTAAGTTACTGTGAGAATGACAGAGCACTGAAAAAACAAGCTGCCTAGAGGCATTATCGAGTCTTGTTCTCCAGAGATATTTGAGACCTGTCTGAATGCCTTCCTGTGCCACCATCCGTAGGGAACCTGCTTTGGCAAGAGGGGTTGGACTCTATAATCTCTAGAGGTTCCTTCCAACCCCTACAATTCTGTGATTCTGTGAATTGTTGTGAATTGTTCTAGACTTGGGTCACCAGGGATGCTTTAAATAACTAGGAAAAAAAAAAGCAACAGTATTTGGAGTACTGGTGACTATACTCTGCATGCAGTGGAGTTAGAATTTTTTCAGTAGTACTCTTTGTTTGTTTGTTTGCCTTCACCACCCTCTGATCAATACTCTCAGTTATTCCAAGTGGCAGAGTAAAATTAATTCTGGGAGATCTGAGCTAGCTTGGTAAGCAGCCCTCTGGAGACTGTTATATATGGTTCCACATTAGGCAAGAGTGATTAATTTGTTTGGATGGAAAGAGGGCCAAGTAAGCTTTATGTTGGCTTGATGGAGGATTAGCAGTGAAGCTGTTGCTCTAACTATACCACTGATGATCATATTTTCAGTAGCAAGAAAAATGACTTCAGAGTGGGTAATATTCCTGTAGTATCTCCACTGAATGCACTAGCAGAATAGTAAGAACAGAGAATGGTTTTGTTTTTCTGTAAATAGTCCATAACACAGGCAGGCATTTACGTTGTCAGATCACTTTGCAAATGCTTCTGTTCCTAGGAAGTTCCATGGAAAGCGCAGCCATTAGAAGAAAGTTGCCATTGACAGACGCAACTGATAATGGAGAAATGGTGAGTTACTGCTCTTTGTAATTGCCTTAAGTATTCTGGGCATTTCTAGACAGCATGAACGGTCAGCATGACTGATCAGCAGAAGTGATGTCTTTTTCTAAAACTTTGAAATTTTTTCTGTTGTCAAATTTTGATACATTGGAATACCTACATCCAACTGGGCAGCTTTTTCTGATAAGAATCACTTGAGATTTACGTATTTGGTTTTATTTTTTTGTAGATACCACGCTCTAATTCAGTTGAGAAGCCAAAGAAGTTGCAATATTCTTCTAAGAATGTTTTTTCTATTGACTATGATAAGAGTCTCTTTAATACGCTCACCCCACCTCCTCAGATGAGAACTTGCCATCATTGTGGTCTGTCTGGTAAGCTGCGCTATTCTCTACTCTGTGATGTATAGTGCATTTGCTGTGGAATTGGAGGATTATTCAGAAGGATTATTCAGAAATGCCTTAAAAATGGATGTGTGTTTTGTGTCAGATGCAAATGTAGTGACTTCAGAACACAGTTGGTGTTGTGGAACTGACAAAACTGAAGACAGCATCTCTTTCTTAATTAAAAATGTTTTGGTTTTTTCTTCTTAAGTACAGAAGGAATCTGGAGCTATGGGCTGATTCCTCTGAGGAATACAGAGGAATAAAAACAACTATTTGTATCTGCTTCAACTGCTCATAGAGCAGTTACTGAGTGCTGTATGGAGTTTGTGTATAACAGCTGCTGTCTCTTCCCGTGTCAGTGTTTCTCTGTGACTTAATTTTTCTTTTTTTTTCCAGGATCCCTCAGATGTTCACAATGTAAACAAATATACTATTGCTCTGTGGATTGCCAGAAGAGAGACTGGTCAGTACACAGCGTTGTGTGTGAGCCAGTTAAGCAGAAGTAAGTTTCTTAAAACTCTGCTTAATAGTCTTTAAAGAGTGACAAGACCACTCTTAGTGCCCTTGCATGGTAAATTAAGTTATGCTATTACAGAAAAATATGTTCTTTTTAATCTAGTATTGCATTGTCTTAGGAAGGTTTGAAAGCTATCTATGAGTCCTTAATTGCAAATTAAGTAAACGAAAATGTTTTGCTTTGTGTTAGTACTGGAATTATATGAGCTGTATGTATGAATTAATGCCTGCATGTCATCTCTGCTGATGAGGTAGAGAAACGAAGACAAACAAGACTGTACTTTGCAGCAGTGGCACAATTAAATGGATTGTATTTCTCACACTCTGTAGAGGCACACTTTAAATATTTAAACTGTTGCTTCAGTGAACTTAATGGGTATTTTATTTTTGATTGCAAGTTGTTTCAGCCAAACCATTCTCTGTCAGCTCATTATCTCTTTGACTTGCCAGTTGAGATGCTCGGGAGATTGCTAATCTGTTTCATCTAAAGTAAGTTTCATTAGGTTATAACACTGTACAAATTAGCTGGATTTGGAAAAGTTTAGGGGAGTGATCTGAGCATTTAAGCTGACCTCTCCATGAAGGGCTGATGATAGCAGTTGATCACTGCAATCAGATATCCATCATCAGAGATTACAAGGAGTGTGTTTTCTCACAAACTTTGCTACGCTGAATTGGGATTGTAGGATGAGGCTGCCAGGCATGTCACTTGAATTCTACCTAACTGTTCAACTGAAGCACCAACACTTACCTTTTTTTTTATGTTACCATTTTTGACATCAGTGGCATCAATTCAGCATTTTCTTGGGAGAGGCATAAGGAAGGTTTGACCTGTGTCAAATCTTGTATTATGAACACAGCTTTCCTGTTTTATTTGCAATTGGATGTTACAAGTGTTATTTGTCTGGTTCTTTACAATTAACCTTTTCTTTTTCTTTTTTCTGATTACAGTTTAAGTAATAGCAGTGGAGGGAAGTTACCTGCTAAAAACAAGACAGGATTTTACGTTAAGGTATTTGTTTTTTACTGTGTCTTGAGTGGGCTTAGTGTAAGCTAGTTACAATATCTGTAACTTCTTCTGTACAGGAGATGAGCAAATTCCAAAGACAATCATTGTAGATCAGTGCTTCTAAACAAAAGTTACTGGAGAAGCATTCAGAAGTGTGTTACTTCTACAGCTATTAGCAAGACTGTCAGTAAATTTGATTTTTTTGTTTGGGGGAAAAAAACAAAACACTTTTGTGATAAATTAAAAAAAAAACCTAAGAAATATAATGAAATATGATGTTGCTGGAGAAATATTTTAGGACACAGGTGTAGTTGTCAAGTTTAGAAGAAAGTCTGGTGGTTTTTTTTCCTGCCTGGAGCAATACTGGGAGCGTTGTAACTTACTTGATAAATGCATTTAACGTAGCATTTTATATTAACAGATGCAGGTCTTGCTTCCTTGCTGTAACAGGAATTAAATGTGATGCAGTTCTCCTCTGCAGCATTTTGATCCTGTTTTTACCCAAGTGTTTCTTCTTGTAGACTTCCTATGAACAGTTCTGCTGGAGATGGTTTTGCTATGTTCTTGGTTTTCTTGGGATGATATTTATAGAAGCAAGTAAATATGCATACCTCCAATTAGATCCATGTCTGCACAGCACAAGAAAACTACCTTGTCTTACACTTTTAGAAGCAGTTAATTCATCTGTTTAACTTCTGGAAGTGGTTTAGAAAGAAGGTTTCACTTTTGGTCATGAATTCTATTTAGTTTGGATTCCTATTAGTTTGGATAGCTTTCTGTTGTGTGTGTGCTTGTGAGTATTGTGGTAAAAACTGATCAGCTGATAGTGAGGGACCTAAACCAAGAGGTTGTAACAATTTCTAAAAACTTATTTTGAAATAATGAAGACTTTATATTTCCTGGTTCATCTTAGGAAGTTCTGGTGAACCAAGGCAGATCACATTAAAAGGTTGTTCAATATGTAGTGTAGTCTACTATTGTACAGTGAAATGTGCTTTTATGGGAAATGCTCTGAAATATCTGTGTTGAAAATAAACAATTTGGCATTTGCTGCAGTATTTTGTCATCATACTTGTCTGAAGTATGCTGTTCCAAAGATAAGAGGTGTTCCTTCAGAATGCATATGAGATTGTTTGAATGTTTTTAGGGTGGCAGTACATGGATGGTATGCATTTAGGCAAATTAGATTAAACTGCTTGTGTAATGTTACTTTGAAAAGGAAAACCAAGATGCATGCTGTTAAAGCAGTAGCTGTAATCTACTTTGGTGTTAAAGCTACAAGGAAGCAGGTGAAGTTCAGTTCCTCTTGGGAAAGCATCATTAGCAGAAGGTATGGCTGAGTTGGTGCTGTAAAAGCAGGTGTGAAAGGAACAGGCCAACCCATGGCTGCTGCCATGCTCTAAGACTGCTTTGGTGCTTGTTTTTTGTTGTCTGTTCAGTCCATCTCCAAATGTGATCTGTTATTTTCAAAAGTAATACAAAATCTGTAAGGCTTAATCGTTGAAACTCAACAAAAGCACTCGGGAGATATTGCTTGAGATGATACAGTGTTCTTTTTGTGTTTGTTAATATAAGCAGACACAGCAGAACAACTGGAGTCTAAACGTAACTTGTGGCTCTTTTAATTAGGATAATTTAACTGCTGAGGATTCCTTCAAGACAAAAGAGCGTATCAAGAAGATCATGTTTTCGGATCTCCAGACTCTAGGAATCAAAAAATCTATGGAAGTACAGGTACTTTAGTTTAGGAATAATGTGAGTTGTTTTCTAGGTAGCATTTGAAGCTCAGTTAAGCATGTATAGCTACTTGTTACTTCAGCTCTATCTTGTTTTGCTTGCTTGCCTGTAAAATTTGTTTTATAAAGATGAGTGAATGCAAGGTGAGGAGATGGGGAATAATAGAGAAAGATTCATTTCTGTGACAGTGAGCATAATGGTCTTCTCAGCAGATACCACTGCTAGATCCAAAACAAAAAAGCAGTGTCAGGTACAGGCTGAAATGCACTTACTGGAAAGCACGCTGGTACTGCCTGTGGGTTGTGGTTGCATAATCCTTAACTACTGTGGCTTTTCTATTCAGGGTACGGTAACAGAATTCAAGAGTCCAAGTGAATTTTATATACAGATGAATTCTCCCAGAGCTCTAGAGCAGATGGGCAGACTTTCTGTAAAGCTGCAAGACTGTTATGCTAACACAGTTATTCAAGAGCAGTACATTGCGATCAGAGGGGAAGTCTGTGTGGCAAGGAATTCTGTGGACCAGGTAAGGTCTGATTGACCCTAAAATAAGTTTTATGTTGAGTTGATCATGCTTTTGCATGCTTTGCTTTTATGTTTCTACCAGTTGAGGTTGCTAGTTTTAGAGATTCAATTACTGTGGTAACAACTAACTTTGTAAAATCTGGAACTCAAAGTACTGATTTTTTTTTTTATTCCTCCTCTAAAAAAAGCATTTACTTCTAGGAGTTTATATGCACTCAAACCTGACAGGAGCAGTTTGTCTTTGTCTTTATTGAGTGGTGTAGGAATTAATAGCAAATCTGAATTGCTGTTGTTAGTTTGGAATGTGACTTATTTAATTTATTGCTCATTTCTTACCTGACTTTTCTGATTGCTTTTCTGTAGTCTCCCCTTGTTCCTGTTTCCAATCCCATCCTTCTGTTCGTTAAATCCCACTTTTTTTTCTCTTTCGTTGTTAACAAATCCTTATTTTACTGTAGGTAAGCCAATTTTGATAGGAGTTTAACTATGTTAAGTCAGCACTGCAGTGAATTTGATTTGCTTCAGAATTCTCAGTTGCCTTTGTTTAAAAACAAACCTATTAAATTAGAAGTTGAAGTGTGTGTGCTTTAGTAAGGAGTACAGTAAATGCAGTTGCGTATTATGGTGTGCTCTTACTAAGAATATTATTTCTTGGATACAGACGTGGAGAAGAGTATTGATTAAAGATGTGGATGTATTGCAGAAGAAAGCACAAGTGTTCTATATAGATTGTGGAAAGGAAGAAAATATTCCATTCTCCTGGATTAAAGCTCTATACAAAGACATTGAACTGTTTCCTCCATGTGTGAGTTCTATTTTCCTACCAGTAGTGTGGTATTTTAAATGAATAGCTGTGAAACAGATGTAACTCTTATCTCAGTATAACTGTCCTTATCACAGTATTTTGTATTCAGTGAAAGCAATGCATAAAAATCGCTTTACTGCACTTAAAGTTCAACTTCCTGTTGAAGTATTTCAATATGGTCTAATGTAGTGGTGAAAAATCACTTAGCGTGGGTGAATCTCATTGGCCTGAGTTGCAGGACTGTTCTGGTAGTTGTTTATTGTGGTCTAGCTTTAATCTGCAGGTCAAAGTTGTTTGTTTGACCTGATGCAAATAGAGAACCATTCCTTCAACTGGCGACTTCTTTAAGTAGCAACTGTTGCTACTGTTTTTCATAATATGTTCAAGTGGTTCTCTGGATTCCTAAAACATTTGATGGCCTTGTGATCCTTATCTCAAAATCTCCAGTGTCTACTGATTACAATCTAATCAGTGTCTACTGATTACAGTGTGTAGTTGTATTCAGACATGGTGTGATGCAGCCACACTTTGTCTAATGCTCCTGTACAGTGTTCAGCTTGAACAAAATTTCATATTTTAATTGTTTTGTAAAGATGCTAGTTGAATTGGTAGTGCTTCAGATCTCAACAGCAGCTTTTACTCTTACATACCTGATAAGAAGCCCTCAAAAATTGACTTTTCTTAGAAGGCAGACAGTCCTCTATATCCTGTGTTCTGATGGTAATTCTTTCCAGGCAATTAAGTGTTCTTTCGCCAATTATGATCCTGAACAAGCATGCAATGAAGACACTGCTATCTTTTCTTCCAAGCTGATGGGAAAGACCTGTTCAGTAATTGTTGTTGATATACTGCAAGAGGAAATGATGTCAAGTTTTGCTGTAGATGTTGTTCTTCCAGATTGTAAGTATATCTGGTGTGGGTATGGAAGGGGGAGGGAAAAGGTTGGGGAAGAGGTAAGGAACAAAACTGGTGAGTCTTCATGTTCACTTTCTCCAGTCTTTTCCAAGACTCTTAGAATGCAGTTTTGTCTTTTGCTTCCTTCCCTCTCTACCTTCAATAATTTTTTTATGGAAGTGTCTTGTTTATTTTTATTATTGTTTTAACAGATGTACACGGGTGTGATAACACACCTTATTTTTTTTCTTTTCTTTTGCCCCCTCCATTTTAAACCCTTTAGAAATGACAGCATTAGTTTCTAGTTCCACCCTTAAGATTTGACAAGTTCTTGTTCCATTTTGTACACGTTTACTAAACAAGTATCCCAAAGAAGGTGCACCAATGGATATAGTTTAGAGAATTCTAAGCTCTGGTGACAGTAGTACTTATTCTTTTTAATAGTATAAAATGCTTCTTGTGTGATGATTGTGTCCATTAATTTAAGGGATGAAATGGCAGGAGCCTACAAAATTCAAAAGGTCTGGCAAAAAAGAATGTTCAACATATTTAATTTTGTAGCTTAATTCAGTGTAATTTTTAAAAGTGTCTCTGACTCCTGCCTGGTGAAGTTGCACACTTAAAAATAATCTAGATTTACTCGGTAACCACTTTCTATCTTTTTCTACTTTCTATGTGCAGTGCCAGAAAACAATTCTAAGGGAAGTAAAGAAAAAATACCTGAAGATAAAGAACAGCATTGCTGTGGAAATATAACTGCACAGTCTGTCTCTATATGTATTGGAGACACGCTTTCTGTTGTGGTTTCCCATGTTCAAAATCCAGAAGACTTTTTCTGTCAGCAGATACACATTGGCCGTAAGTGACTTGATTGAAAGTAAGCTGTGAGCTATTGCAGCACCTTCTTCTTCAGTAGTGAGTATCTAGGGGAAGATATTGGTAGTTGATCTTGTACTGGAGAATCTTTGTGGTGTTATGCTGTGCATCATTTAAAAGCCTTGGTTCTTTAGAGAATCTTTTTGGCATCATAATCTGTTAATGCTGCTTAGTAACTTGTAAGGTGATGGTTTGTGGGCATTCTGAATAACCTTAAGAAGAAGGATGATGTGCTGTGGATTTTTAGCAGTCCTCTCAAGTCAGTTTGTATATTTACATTGTAAATATGTTCTGTTAGATGTTAAACATTCTCTAAAGTGTTCCAGAAATGTGTGTCAGTACGTAATTATTGTTTGTTGCTAGAATCAGAGTCCTTGGAGTTGGGAAGGGACCTGTGAAGACCATCTAGTCCAGCTCCCCTGCAGTTAACAGGAACTCCACAGCTAGAGCAGGTTGCCCAGGACCTGGTCCAGCCTTGCCTTGAAAGTTTCCAGGGACAGGGCATCAACCACATCTCTGGGCAACCTGTTCCAGTGCTTCACCACCCTCACTGTAGAAGACATTTTCCTTATATCTGACCTTTAAGCTTGAAACCATTTCCACTTTTTCTATCACAACAAACGCTGCTAAAGGCCTCTAAGGCTTTTACCACTGGGAAGAAGTTTCTTTATAGGCTGGGTGTATATAGACTTTTTTGTTGTTGTATTGTATGGGGAGAATATCTGAGTTTTGAGGAGAGAGAAGGCTGGATAAATAGTGCCCAAGCCTTGCTTTGTTGTCTTCTGCTGGGGTGGAATATAAGAGCAATTACAGTGGGTCAGAATGCTAGGTGAGAGAGGCTTTTGGTGCACAATGCTAGCAGACAGATGTTTTGAGGAGAAAAACAGCAGAATGAGTTTGTGGCACGTGCCTTCTAGCACTGTCTGGGTATATAGTTATTTTCAGCTAAAAGGGATTTTGCAGCTGGCTGTCTGGTGTACTTAGTAAGTGAATTTCTCACTACTCATCCTTTGAATTCTGAGAGCTTACAGCATGTAGTTGTTCTGGCAAGAAGTTGCGCTAATCAGATATCTCTGCTTTAAAGAGCAATCTTCCTTTTGTTTTTTTCTAGCATGGTTCATTAGTCATGTTTCAGTTCTTAGTGGATTCAGCTATGTTATGGTATTGAAAGAGTCTGTGACTGGTTTTTCTGTCTGTACTGTTAAGCACAGCAAATTCTCCCACTCATGCAAGGACTCTATTAAGTGATGGAGGTTGAAAGGTCTCAGTTTCACCACTATCTTAATATTACTTTGAACGTTAGGTGAAACACCTCTAATGTTGCAACAAGTTCATTCAGGTTTTGAACTTCAGATCTGTGCACTTCCTTAAAACCTGTGGTTTTTTTCATGTCAGGTCGTCTTGCTGAGCTTCAGGCGCATGTTTGCCAATATTGCAACAAACTTCCAAGTAATCCAAATTTCCGACCAGTTTCTGGAGAGCTGTGCTGTGCCCAGTTCACAGGTAAAGGTGAACATCTATCTAAAGGAGGCATCTATAAAATATATTTTTTTAAAGACCATAAAACAGCCCCTTTGTTAAGCAAACATAGAGCACTTGATTCCTTTTTGTATGAAGGAGCTTTTTAAAGAATGGATTTTATGTTGGTAAGCCCCATTTCCTGTGACTGGAAATAAATATAGGCTAGAAATTTCAAACATTTTGTGCTACGAATTGATACTTCTGTATGAAGTAAGTAACTTTTATTGAAAGGATATGAAGTCCTGCTTGCCTGAGCACAGTAGAATAAAGATCATTCTTCTGTTCATCCAGCTATTAGCAAGGAGAATTAAAAAAAAAAAAGCCTGAAACCAACATATTGCTGTTTTTTGTACCTTTTTTTGTTCTGGTCAGAAGTGGCTGCAGCTAAAATTTGCTGATCTATGAACAGTCTCTTCATTTCTTACCTCATATGTGTTTTTTCTGTTTTAAGTAAAGTAGCTGTGGAACTGAACAGAAGCTGAAATAACTTTTTTTTTTTTTTCTGCACATTCAGAAAAAGGTATTACTGTCAGTAAGCTGCCTTAGTGTTTTAATAATTAGTTTCAGGTACTTAGCAAGGAAAAAAAAAAATCATTACGTTAGTTGCTTTGATAGATTTGAGAGTAAGCTTGTATTTCTATCTGAAATCTTTTAATTGAATTAGAAAACTTGTATTAGACACAAAATTTGAGTCAGCTGAGATCCTGTTTTTTTAAAATATATTGAACTTAACTTTGTTACATGGGGATACTTAAATTTTTCTTGCAATATACATTTGTGGGTGGGGGATTCTTTATGGAAAGAGTGAGTTTGCAACGCTTAACTGGTACGAGGGGTGATGGTGGTAGATGCCTTCCATAGGGTTTTGTCAAGGTTTGTGTGAGCTGTAAAGCTGATGTTTCAACTCTTATGCTGAGGTTGCCAACACACTGATCTGCCCAAAAGAATCGTGCTGTTTGCAAAGGCTAAAATCAAATGTAATGAATGTGTGTATCTTCCTTTCTAGAAGACAATGTCTGGTATCGTGCTGCCGTTATAGCACATGCTTCTGAAGATAACATTGTGGTAGGTTATATAGATTATGGTAACTTTGAAGTTCTGCAGCCAACTAGACTTCGTCCTATGATTCCAAAATTAATGGACTTGCCAGCTCAAGCCATAAGATGTACTTTGGCAGGTATGAAATAAATGGAGTCTCTTTGGTTAAAGGGAAAGTAACTAACTTGTCCAGTTAGGACATGTGCAGTATCGTGGATCAAAGGGTAGAGATACCAGTAGGTGTTCTTTCAGAATTCTAAATTAACTGTTGTAGCATGCTTACAAAGCATGACAAATCTTTCCTCATGTACTTAGTGATGAGAATACTCAAAAAAACCCTGCTTTATGTTAGCATGCTTGTTCTTAGGTTTTGCACATACCTTTGTTCTAAGCAAAATTCAGATGCCTGCTGGAGGAGGAGTGGAGTTCTTAAATCTATTGTGGAACTGGAATCAGTCCCCCTAGGGATCAACCTAGTGAAACTACTGGTATACTCATCTTATAGCCTTACCTATGTATGTGCAATCTGTGAGGTTGGAAGTTGCCTTGACGATTCCCACTTCATCCTCTTTTCTGAAGCCAGTCATTGCCTGTTGTTTTTGACATGTTTGTTTAACGTGCTGTTGGAAATTATTTGCTGTTATTCACTTCACCATGCAAGACAGCCCATACTTTTGCTTCAGTATCCTTGCTTTAGAATATTTGATCTTTGTACTTTCTTTAAAATACTTTATAAAATCATCTGATGTTTCAGGTTTTATTTGGTGAAGTTCAGGGAGGTATCACTAGGTTGGAAAACATAAAGCAGTGGTTCCCTCATATTCAGAGTGGGAACCATTGTATATGGAATATGAGCTAAAGAAATCACTGTGATGATGCCTGTAGCTGCTAATGTATATTCTGGAACTGAGGAAGTTCCTAAATTCAGGGATGCTAGAAGGCAATTGGATGAGTTGTTTCCTGATGGAGGCAGGGATTACTGCTGTGTCAAATATCTTCAAGGAAGCAACTGTCTTCTCTTAACACATTGCTATAATGTTCTGGTTATAACTTGCAGTTTTTGAAAGAAATTTAGCAGTATGAAGTATGAAAAGCAGAAAGCAGTATGAAATTTAGCAGTATGAAGTTTTAGGAAGAAGCTCACAGTAGCAGATACACTGGCTGAAAGCGGTAACATTGTTCCAAACGTATGCTCAAGAGTATAGTTGTATTCTGGAGACTGAAAAGCAGGTGGTTCTTAGACCTTTATACCAAATAAGCACTAAATCTGAATTCACATCGTAATACTACTAGTTATAGACTATCTTGGCAGATTTTTATTAAATCAAAATACAGCACATTTAGAATCTGAATAATTGGTTTTAGAATCTTGTTGTGTGCCTCTGTAGTGGGAGAGTTCCTTGGCATATCTGCTGCTTGATCTGTTACTTCAAAGAGTGTTGCTGTACTCCTCCACATATTGTTGAGATCTGAGCTGTCTCAGAATTCTTCCATACTATTTGACCTTTTTTAGGTATCAAGCCATTGTTGGGAGCCTGGACTTCAGAAGCTATTTCTCTTATGAAACAATTAGTAAAAGACAAAGTGTTCACAGTGAAAGTAGTGGATAAAGAGAGTTATAGATGTGTGGTGGAGCTCACAGATGCATCAGTAATTCCAGAAATAAATATATCGAGATGTCTCATAGAGAAAGGCTGTGCAGATGAAGCATCAAGAATGGCCTTGCAAGCAATTGAAACGGGTGGTGTTAAGCAAGCAAATCGTGAGTACAAGCACATCCTGATAAAGTGGTAATGTTTAACCTCCTGTAATGAAGTTGCATGCTTCTTAGAAGTCTATACAAGAATTTACTCTGGTTGGAAGTCTTAACATGTCTAATTGAAATACGATATGACTAGTTATTACCTGTCTGTTTCTACACTCTTGTCCTTAAGCTCACTTTTGTTGTCTATATTTTGCACCTGAAACCATTTATTCAGTCCTTCAAAAGCTGTTCAACTGAAGTAGCCTGTGTAACTTCAAGGCTTAAAGGGATTTGTTGCCTAAGCTGCCTTTTTTTGCATTTACTGCAGCTTTAATTTGAGAGTTTTATAACTGCTGTGTCACATTTCTGTGTATTTCTGGGAAGATTCCTAGCTCCAACATGAGGCATGTTAGGAAGTTATTTTCAATTCTGTCTCTGATAAAACTGTGTTTCATTTTATCAGTATTATTCATGTATAGATGCAAATAATTGGATTATTTATAATGAGAAATGGTATTACACAAAGTATGAGTATACAGTATGGATTATCTTCTCTTCCTTTCCACTATCCCTCCTCTTCTCCCCCAACCCCCCCCCTTCCCCCCCACAAAAAAAAGGGGGTGGAGGGAGTGGGTGTAATTTCCCTTCTTCTACTTCTCTTTTTCTTCTCTAGCAGACACACCAAACAAACAAAAATGCAAGTGGAGTACATTCTCTAATAAACAAGCAGTAGATGTGATAGTGTGTACATTGTACAGTCCTGGAGAATTCTACTGCCAGATTGCAAATAGCAATGGTAAGTTTCTTCAGCTTCTGTTTTTCAGCGTAGTTTCTTTGCTTTCTGATTTTATCATTGTTTCAAGTGAGTTTATAGCACCAAGTCTTATTTCTGAGTTCTGTCCTTATATCAGTGACTTTGTCTTAAATTCTTTTTCAGAGTTACGTGCTCTAAACTCACTTAACGAATCATTGTTTGAATATTGCCAGAAAACTCCTCCAAATGTTTTCAAGCCTGAGAAAGGAGAACCTTGCTGTGCTTTGTTCTCTGGTAAGTAACAGACTGAAATATTTCAGTTCTTTGGGGAGAACATGAAACAAACAAATAAAAACAAGAAAACAAAGCAAAACAAAAAAACACACCAAAAAAGATATAGTCAATATTTTATATTGGTAGAGGATAGCAGAGACTAGTTTTATTGCTAAATGTGATTTTATTTGATTTTTAAATCAGATGATGGTAACTGGTACCGTGCTTTGGTGGAAGACATTATTTCAGATAGAGTTGTTCGGGTTCACTTTGTGGACTATGGAAATGTTGAAGAAGTACCAGTGGATAACATACGGCACATTTCATCCTCATTCCTGGAGCTGCCATTTCAAGGAATTAAATGCTGGCTTTCAGGTGGGTCCTCTTATGAATTCTCTCCTTAAAAGCACTGTTGCTCTTAGGAGCTAGAAACTTGCTGCTTGTGGAGAAGGAGATGATGATACTGTATACTTTACAGAACTATGCTTTATAATAACATCTGTATTGCTTCCAGACTCAAGAAATTATGGAAGCCACTGGTTGAGCCTTACAACACTGCCTGCTGGCGTTTAACAGGCAGATGTTCTTTGCTGAGCTCCTGCCAGTGTTGTGCAGTGATCTGCCTGAGGGTCATTTATTGATTTACTGGTCAAAGGGAACTTGTAATTTTGCTTCATCTGTAGTGCTTGCTAGCTTTTAGTTGCTGCTTACTGTAAGAATAAATGTGCTTTTGTGAACCTTAGTTATTTCTGTATATTTTTTTCCACAGGGTAAAGGAGCAAATGTGTTCTAGTGTAGCAAGCTGGCATTTCAGGCCCCTGTGGGAATGTTTCATATGATTTCTCTCAACTTGGCACTGTACTGATGTTCCCTGTCTTTTCCCAAACCCTTGCCTTTTCCTTTCACACCAAATCACTCAGTCCTGCAGACCTGTTGTTCCCTGCTAACAAAGTCTACACAGTTTAGGAATTAAAAAATAAATAAATAAAATGTGGAAAAGCTCAAAACCACATTTTCTCCAGGCATATTCTTCTCTTTTTATCTCTTAAAGCACTATGGTTTTCTGCTCCCTTTTTCAAAAGGCTGTATTAAACTGTTCTTAACCAGTCTGCACAGTGTTGTTTGTGCTAAGATATGGGACTTACTGGGTAGAGTACCTTAAAATGTAGTAAAAAAAAAAACAACTTAGAAGTCCTGGCAAAAGGAAGGGAAGATATGAAGTACAGTGTGTATCCCTGAGGCAGTCAAAACAGCTTTGGTAGTGATTTTTAGAGAAGATTTTTTGGATAAAATCAAATAATTGGAGGTATCTTGAGCACATCTTCTACTTCCTAGGTATAAAGCCTGCTGGTAGCAAATGGAGCCCAGAAGCTACAAAAAGATTTCATAAGTGCACTGCAGGAATGAAGCTTCAAGCCAAAATAATTTCATTTTCCAGAGATGGGGCAGGTATAGAACTTATTGACAATTCCATGGGTCATCCAAAAGTGATCACTGAGATGCTAATTTCTGAGAAATTGGCTGAGAAGGAGGATCTGCAAGATAAAAATACTTTTCCAAGTAAGTCTGATGATAAAGGTAACTAAATGAATGTTAGCTTTTAGATTTGAAAAGAATTTTCAGCATTCTAGCTGTGAACCATCTTCCTTTTGTTTAATTATAGATGATATCAATAGTAAACGTGCTTAATTTTGAGTATATCGTGATGTTTTTACAACTAAACAGAAGTGCCCCTGTGGGCATTGCAGACAGAAAAAGGAAAGTAAAAAATCATTAGATTTGTCTTAAATGAATTCAAGGGGAATATTTGACAGTGGAGAGTTGAAAGTCTGCTGCGTGGCTGAATCTTTTTTCATATTTACTTCTTATTTTTAAGTGTTTTTTAGTTCTTTCTTACACTAACAGCTATTCACTCTTACTTAATTTGCTGTTTGTGTTGTTTTATGTTTCTCCGCTTGAAATATAGAAATTGTCTGTACAATTCAAAATAACAAAATATTTACAGATTACAAATTAGCAGGTGTTTACATCATGTATGTACTTAGAGAAAAGCATCATGCAGCATTTTCATGCTCTTTCTTACAGAAACCTCACTTGGGCACTGGGAGTCAATAGAATTGGCAGTGGATCAAACCGTATCTGTCTGTGTGACAGAAGTTAGAAGGCCAGACTTGTTTTATGTTGTACCAGCTTATAGCAGAGGTAAGAAGGAGTTTTGTTCTCTGTTCCTGATATTGATAAAGTTATTGTTGTGAGTTAGTTGGTAAGATGAATGCTTATAGTGAACCGAACTTGGAAGCATAGCTTAGACAGCAGAAAAATATAGAATAAAATAATTAAAAAAGGCAAGAGTAGAGGAGATGAAGAGTTTAAGTACATTCTTCATTACCTGCAAACGTGGTTAATCATCAAATATTTTTTTTTTTTCTGCAGATGGAGATAAACTGCATAAGCTGTTGACTGAACTACAGGACTACTGTAAGTCTTGTAAGAAGCAGCCTTTCAGACCAACGCTAGGTGAAGCCTGTTGTGCCAGGTTTTCAGGTGAGGGAATCTTTCATTCTTACACTTCCTTAACAAGCGTAAAACACGTTTTTCCCTTTCAAAAAAGGAGGAAAACCTACTAACTGTTCAGTTTTGTTTGTTTGCCAAGTACAGTTTGGTTGTATTTTCAGAGCAAAAAGTGTGATAGTCCAGAAGAGAAAAGGGTAAATATATTGTGCACTGCAAAACGTATGGAAGAGGACATATTCTGCTGATACAGTACTTACAAGGTTAAAAAATAAATAAATAGTGTTGACTAACAAATATTAAATGTTGACTATGTGTGCCTTGCTACAGGAGATCTAGTTGAGTGTTGATCAGCCTTAACTTAGTAAATACTGTAAAATAAAGTGCTTGTTGAGATAAGAATTTATGGAAACAGGGTTGATGAATTAAAAAAAATGCTACATGGAACATAAGCATTGTTTGTCAGTTGTTTGTTGGTTCTTTCTGTTGTCCAATTTCTTTTCTTGTTTACAGCAATCTGTGTTTATGAATGTAGCTTTCATGTGTGATTCTTCTTGTTTCAATCTTTCCAGGTGATGGGCGTTGGTACAGAGCTGTTGTTCTGAAAGTTTCTCTGTCCACAGTTGAAGTACTGTATGCAGACTATGGGAACACAGAAAATGTACCACTTTCAAATGTGCTGCCCATCACTGATGTCTTCTTAAAGATTCCTTTTCAGACAATTACATGTTCACTTGCAGGTAAGAACAAAACAAATGAGAACGTGACGTTTTAAATTGAAAGTTATTTTAAGTCTACATCTCTTCTGATGATGGTGTTCATTCCTGAGTAATGATAAACATGATCAATTGAAATAGCTATCACAGTATTAACCAGTACGCTATTTCAGAAAAAAATCTTAATTAGTGGTAGGATTTTGGCTGTTTATTATGGAAATTTAGTGTCACGTTTTCAAAAACTGTGATGTTATTTGTGAGGTGAATAAAAAGGAACTCTTAACAAATTTGACTACTTTTTTTTTTTTTTTTTTTAGGAATAAAGAAAGTTGAGTGGTCTCCATTGGTTCTTGACACACTAAAGGAAATGTTGCTGAATAAATATGTCACAATCACAGTGAAAGGACTTAGTGGAAATATTAAATTGGTAGAAGTGGAGAAAGAGAGTGAAAATGGTAGCCTGAATGTGGCAGACAAATTAGTAACGGAGGGTTTGGTGAGATACTGCAAAGCTGCAAACTCTGATGTTGCACATCAAGGTACTTATCTTCACAGGCTTCTCAATTGAAACATAATTTGAAGAACTGTGAGTGCTTTAGGAAATGCCACATAGCAGCTCACACGTGAACACTGCTTCCCTTATCTTACTGCTTCACTTACTTGGTGTGTTTCATTTGTTTTGTAGGCAGTGGAAGTGAGACCAAATGCTGCTGTGCAGAATTAAAAATGCAGGTAGGTAAGAAACTGCTAACAGTCCTCACTTTGTGTGTTTCCAGAATTTCTGAAACCCTAAGTGGGAAGCATGTGGGGGCAGGAAGGTAATAGCTAACTGAAACACTGAAGATAAGAGAAAGGAATATGCCAGTTATTTTCTAAGGTTTTCTAAGGGATTACAGCCATATTGGAACAGCCTGAAACTGAGAAGACAGCATACAGATCACACAGGTTCCATTAGCCTATGCTTTGCCACACATCCAACTCCGTTTTTTTTGTTTGTTTGTTTTGGGGATGAGGCTGCAGAGTTCTGTTTTGTTTTCTCTCCTGGAGCATAAGGGCTCAGGATGTTAGCTTTTATGTCTGTTGTGCGAGGGTAGTTGCTGTGTTTGCGTAAACTGCAGCATGCAGGCAGTGGCAACTGGATATTCTTTCAGTAACAAAGCTGTGTTTTGCTGTGGATTCAGCTTGACAGACAGCTGTATGCGTAAGGAAGCTTGAGATAGATGTGTATTTCAGGTGGCACGGATGAATATTAATGCATGCCACATTCTGTCATGGAGCAAGGGGTGAGAATTTGTGTTCAGGATATTGGAACTTGTAGCTGTTTGATAGTTTCAAGAGCTTTACCTCTTCGTAAATAATTAACATCCTCAGTCTTAAGAGTATTCCATTATTATGGTCATAGAATTATCTTTAAAAGGAAAGAAGTCAGAATTCAGGTGTGTTCTTCAAAGATTTCATCATAGAAAGGAACTGCAATTCAATGAACTGATGTGGAATTTGGCTGAATTTTGTAGTTTTAGGAACTGCCTTAATCTGAAAGCACACAAATTGTTTTATTGCTGTTTCTAATACTTTTTCTCCCACAGCTTAAAAAACATGAACAGGTTCTCCTCTTCCTTTTAAACAAACACCACAATCCAGACAGATACGGAGAAATGAAAAAAATGTTGGAAAGCTGAGTCTGAAGTTCTGTTCAGTTTATATGGAATCATGGAATCACAAGGTTGGAAAGGACCTACAAGATCATCTTTGGAAGAGCAGTTTTATTCATTGTAGTAAAAATGAGTTGCTTCCTCTGTTGCTTAAATAACTGTATCAGTCTGTGTATTTGGTTATCAAATGTATAACGTTAACGATTTCAAAGCTGCAAGCTGAACTTTTTGTTCTGTTTTTGTTTGGTAGCTCGCTGTTGATAAGCTTTTTTTGTTTTTATTTTGCTGTTGAACGCACATAAGTTTATGGAATTGTCACAGCATCTTGAAAATACCCTGTTAAATTAAAAATGATTGTAATCATAAAGTTCAACTTTGGTGCGATTGAAACTCAACTCTTTGAAAGGGTTCGGTAACTGCAGGACAGGGGGAAATGGTTTTAAGTTGAGGGAGGGAAGATTTAGGTTGGATGTCAGGGGAAATTCTTTACAGAGAGAGTGGTGAGGTGCTGGAACAGCTGCCCAGAGAGGCTGTGGATGCCCCGTCCCTGGAGGTGTTCAAGGCCAGATTGGATGGGGCCCTGGGCAGCCTGGTCTGGTATTAAATGGGGAGGTTGATGGCCCTGCATGTGGTGGGGGTTGGAGATTCGTGTCCTTGAGGTTCCTTCCAACCCTGGCTGTTCTGTGATTCTGTGATTGATTTTACTTAAACAACTCTATCTTAGCCTTACTAGTCTTTCAACTTAATTTCAGGCCTCTGTGAAGTTAGACAGCATTGTTAAAGGCTGCCTTCTTGGTTTCCACCACTTTCACACTAATAGAGAAGTCCTCTTCTGATTGATTCAATGTTTCTCTATTGCAGCTGACCCTTGCTATTCTGCTGTCATTGCTGCGCTTTCCATTGCGTTGCACACCTCTAGGTGATACACCCACTGTGTAATATAAATGCTGTGATAGAAACTACCATTAAAGTACTTTTATGTAGAAGAGCATCAGTGGCAGCGGCCCTAAACCCTCCAGGTGTGCCCTCACCATGCAACACAAGGCCACAACGCCCCTTTTTACATCGCATCCTCGGAGTATGTAAAGACCACCTTTCTCCCAGCTCTAAAAGACAGCTGAGCGCACAGCGCCGATGTGCCGCACGGCTGTATCCCACCACGACCTGCGGGGCGGGCCGGGCAGAGGCAGAGGCAGAGGGAGGGCTCCGTTCCCGGCTCCTCCTCCTCCCCGCGGAGCCGCCGAGGGTCGCGCAGAGCCCGGCGTGGAGGTGAGCCCCGCTCCGGGGATGGGTACGGGGAGCCGGGGAGCCGCCACATGGGGAACCGCAGGCGGGCGTTAGTTAGGGGATGGAGGAGCATCGCCCCGAAGACGTGTTTATGGGGCAGCAGACAGCCAGACTTTGCCCTGCTTTGCTGCTCTCGGGTGAGTCGTTTCTGTGGGGTGCGGTAGGGGAGAGGTGCTGAGCGTGCCGGGGCAGCTCCCAGACGGGCTGTGCCTCGCGTCTTGAGTTTAGACTGCAGAAGACGCGAAGACTGGAGGAGCCCAAGCGATGTCTGCAGTGCGCCTAGGCGAAGAGCTGAGAATGCTTTCAGCCTTCGGCTGTGTGCAACGGGGCTTTTCCTGGCGTGGCGCGATGGCTGCAGGTACAACTGGGTGAAATAATTGAAGAAAAAAAAATCTCCTGCTCCTATGCTGGTTCTGTAGAAAAATTAACTGTGGAAGGTTCCTGCATTGTGAGGCTCCTTTAGGAAGGCTTTGCCCTGCAGTGCATGCAGGTAGCAGCCTGTGCACATCTGCAGGAGTGGTGCCATGGCAAAGGCTGGCCCTGCAGCTCACAGGGCTCCTTATTGCACGTTGCTCTGTCAGAAGGGTCAAACAGGAGTGAGGCATGGTGTGCTGAGGTGGAGACGGTCCGTCTCATAGCCATGAGACAAGAGGGAATGGCCTCAAAGTGCAGCAGGGGAGGTTCAGGTTGGATATTAGGGAAAAATTACTCACAAGAGCATTGAGACAATTGGCACAGGCTGCCCAGGGAGGTGGGGGAGTCACTGTTCCTGCAGTGTTCAAGAAACAGAGATGTGGAGACATGGTCAGTGGGCACGGTGGGGATGGACTGATGGTTGGACTACATGTTCTTAGAAGTCTTTTCTAACCCTAATGATTCTACATCCTGAGAGCTGAATTGAATAACACTGATGATAGCAGTCCAGCCTGTGCTGTAGGTAGTCAATACAATTTTAGGCTTGAAAAGCTACAGTTTGCCCTTTTCAGTTTTGGATGTATGGGGAAGGACAAAGCAGAGCTCTTTCCTCAAGAGGAAGGTTTGCTGAGGCACAGGGTGCTGATCCTCACCCACCTGCTTAGGAACTGCTTGCACCTGTCCATGATGCAGGTCCATCACTCGCTGATCTGCCTCAACTGTGGCTGCTCCTGGCTGGGACTTGCTGAGTGGGCACCTCTGCAGCTGTTCAGAGCTGCAGGGGATGATTGTAGGATTCACACCTGTGCCCAGTGCCTTGAATTAGCTCCCAACCTGGTACACTACCACGTCCTCTGCATTTTTTGATGACCTTGGTGTAGTTATATTTGTGTCTTTCTTTACCTTACGCTGTGGCTGATTTATCTCAGGACCCCAGGTTCACACAGGTTCTCTTCTCCCCAGCCATCCCACAAAGCATTTCCTCCTATATTCACACTCGCTACCCACTGGTGGAAGCAAGCACTCCATGCCTGGACTGCTCGGGAGGGCTCTGGCTCCCAGGGATGCCCTTGGACGGGGCATCCAGCAGAGGATCAAGAAGAGATGTTCATGGAATGCACTTTCTCTGGGCAGGGGAAAAGCCCGTTGAAGCTGTTACTTGATGCAAAGCCAGGTGTTCTGGATAAAGTAGCTGGTTTTGTAGAGCATCTTATGACAATTTTAATCTAGTTTCTCACTTGTAGAAAAACATCATTGGAAGCTGTAGAGTGATGTTTTGGTGTGTATTTGAGCGCTAGTTAAACGTTTCCTCATCCTCTTCTTCCTCCTCCCTGCAGCTCTGCCTGCTGTTCCCCCCTTAGCTATCCCTAGCCAGGGCAAAGTGGGTGCCTGGGGCTCCCCATAGATGTGTCCCACCTACCTCTTAGCTGCCCACTGAGGAGATGAACATCCTGAACTGTGTGTGTTCAAACCTGTGCCTTACTTTGGAAACCAAAGAAACTTCTCAAGCCCTCACTGTTTTGCATGAAAACATCCCCAGATCCCCCACAGCTGTCCCCTCTGGCTGCAGGTGGAGGCTTGCCATTCCTCTGGTGTTGTCTGCTCTGGGATTAGCTCCTAAAAAGCTGTCCTGGGGGTATGGCAGGAGCATGACCTTCCATCCTAGGCACATGCTGGAGCTACTGAGGGGCACAGGGGCTGCCTTGATGGAGGTGTGGTTTGTGTTCTCCTCCCTTCACTTGAGCAAACCTGAGATCTGTTAATTTGGCCAGGTGATGCTTGTGAAACACTGGAAACTGGAAGCTGCAGGCCATGAAGCCTGGGCCATGACCAGGACACTGGAGTGGGTGCCAGAATGCTCCAGAGAGTACACATAGCCCTCTTCATCTGGAGAAAAAATAAATACATGTATTGCAAATTGAAATCCATTGCACACTGGATCTAAATCTGGGCCTGCTTGGGAGTGCTGCTGCAGTCCACCAACAAAGCAATGGCAGCTGTTCTGATTTTGGAGGAACAAAATGAGCAGAAAACTGACCTTTACACATAAAAGCGTCTCCACAGCAAGCCAGTCCTCAGAAAATAGAAGGCTGGAAGAGCCTGTGGCTGGGTGTTGCTGGGGATGGGCAGTCCTTCCTTGCAAAACTGCTTTCTGTTGTGGGACGAGCACATGGGAGGAACTTTCTCCTCTATCATTCCTTCTATTTGGATGCTTTTCCACCTATTTCCTACCCTTCTCCCCATTGCTTTTGCCCTGAGCACGTGTTTCATAACTCTTCACGTGAGACAGTCAGCAAAGAGATGTTAGCTGTAGGTAAAGAAACCTACTTTAGGAATTGGGCTAATTGGGTTCCTTTCCTTTTATTCTTTATTTCAGATTTGTCACCATGAACCTCTTGCCATTCGAGTCCCTCTGTGTTTTCCTGCTTCCCCAAGGTATTGAAAGCCATCTTTTTGCATCAGGGGTTTCTGTGGCAAATGTTTCCCTACTTCCAGATGGAGTTCTTTGTGGGAGGGATGAGCTGAACCAGGAGAGTTTGGGTAAAGCTCTGAAATGAGGGAAAAAGCAATACCTGTAGAAATAGCTTTTCAAACATGTGACAGATTGGTATGTGAAGAGTCTGTTCCAAACAAAAGCTGATTATTTTGATACTCAAAGTTCATAGATGTCTCCAGTTGCAGCTGCGTGGTGTGTATGTGCCTCTGATTGTGATCTCTAGAGCCAAACCTGCCCCAGCTCTCATTCTTGGAGTTCTCTCATATTTTTTAAAGGCAGTTTCTAGTGTTGATGGGTGATTATCTGATTGGTCCCACAGTTTGGTTGGCATCGGGCACGCAGGAAATCTATGCTGACCAGGAGACGATTGGCAAGATCTCAGCTGCTGGCCAATGTAAGTTTGTTTTTATAGAGCGAGTCCTCTACCTTCTGAATCCTATGTCAATGCCTTGAAAAGGTCTCTGCGGAGTGGGCAGGCTGCCAACGAGCTCTGTCAAAGATGCTGGGGAGCTGGTCTGTTTCTGCAAGCAGGGGTGACGCAAGGGCAAGTCTCTGAAGGTGGGATAATGGGCAGATCTTTGGGAGACGTCTCTTCAGTGCCTTGCAACTGCTCAGAGAGTTTGTTTAGAAAACCAGAGTGTGCTTTGGAAAGTGTGCTGTAGATGAAGGAAAGTGTGCTGTAGATGAAGCACATCTGGCTCAACGGGATGTGGTGCACGCTGTAAATGCCTTGCAATTCTCTCCTGTGCCTCAGGCTGGGGATGGGGCTCCCCCTGTGCTTGTGGTCTCTCTACATCCACCTATCAGAGCTGCTGGCTCAGTTTGCTTGGGTTCACAGCACCATGCTTGGAACCTGAAATCTGAAATGTCAGGGGAAAGTCTTGTGAACTATGAGCACTGAACAGAACAGGAAGGGGGGAGCATGCAGGGCTTGGTCTGGGAGCGTGGAACTGCTCCAGTGTGTGTTCTGTAGGGCCAACTATCTGCATTTTTTCCATTTGCTTCTAAAAGGTAAGACAAATTCAGGTGATTTTATTTCTTTTTCTTTTTTTCATTGTTTTTTACAACATCTGCCTACCCACATTCTGCAGTCACCTGTGACCCAAGCGTGTATCTTGTTCTTTCCTAGTGATGTGGTGCTCAGCTTCTGTTGATATCCTTTTCCTCTTGGATGGCTCCTACAGCATTGGCAGAGGCAGCTTTGAAAGATCGAAGAACTTTGCAGGCAAGCTCTGTGATGCCCTGGACATCCATCCGGGCAGGGTGAGTGTTGGGAACGATTCTTTTTGCTTTCAAGCAGCTTGATGAAGTATGAGAGGGCCAGTGGAAACTTATTGAGTGAAATGGCAAAATTCAACCTAGCAGCTGCATGAGTAACAGCAGGTCTTGGCCAGATGCCCTGTTGTTTCATCCCTGCAGATATATCTGCAGAATCTGCAGAATACCTGCAGATTCTGGGGGCTGCTTTTTAAATGCTATACTTTTCCTAGCCTTTCTGTTAATCCTTAAATAGGACTGAAAATCAGTAGCCTTTTTAGCTTTGAAGATGTCACATTCCACTAAGCTTCTTCTAAGGCTTCAGTGCAATATTCTGGGCAGTATAAATGTTTTTGCCAGTTTATGTTTTTGGGCATTTTCAACTATCGTGAATGGTTTTAGGGCAGGCAATGGAAAAATAATTGCCTGCTGTGCTCAATGCAAGAAGGGGCTGCTGTTAGTAATAGAAACGCTGCCCCCAGCGAGTCTAATTGGTTTGGTGTAAAAGGTGTTGCGTATAAACTTACTATGTTTTTGAGGCTCTAAGCTGCTCTGTAGCAGAGAGCTTCCATGTTGTTTGCAGCTGAGCTTTTTTTGCCTTGTTTGTAATCTGTACAGATATTACTGTGCTCTTTTCTGAAGTTCATTTAGAGTGCCAGGAGTTTGACATGCAAAACAGTGTTTGTTGTGGTAGGATTTAGTGTTCTCCAATCTGTAAATTGTTCAAAAGAGTGACACCCACACAGACACTTTTCTTTCATACTCTAACCTTTCCTTTTAGGTCCGCGTAGGAATGGTACAGTTTAGTTCTGCTCCCCACCTTGAGTTCTCATTGGATTCCTACCTAACCAAACAAGAAGTGAAAGAGAGGATCAAGAGGACAGTGTTCAGGTCAGCTTATTCTGAAGGTCTTCTCTTTTTCTGGGCTGTGAATGATTTCTGGACTGAGAATTTCCTGAAGTGTAGACGTTGGCACCTCAGCTGTGTGTATACCAGTGTGGCGCACTCAGGAAAGGGGATGAATGTCCAGTGCCTGTGATCCGTGATGCATGGGCTGTCTTTGTCACTGCAGGCTGATAGGGATGAAGGCTTTCAGCATCCCTCTGTAAGGTGGTCAATAGAAGAGCGTTTCTGTGCTGGGCAGTGGGTTATGTCCTTCCTCAGGCAGGAGGTGCTGGGTTGGTGCACCCTGCCATCGTTTGCAGGGCTGCTGCAGGGATGTGCTCACGTATCCACAGCCATGGCTTATAGAAGCAGCAGCAAGCATTGTCTTCCCATCCATGTAAGCATTGGCAGGGCAGTGTGCAGCTTGCATTTCTGGTGATTACAATTTCCTTTGTCCTCGGAGGTAGTGATGAATTGCTAGTCCCTTGAAATCTGTGCATGTGTTCCTGCTGAATTCAAGAGGATCTGGTTTTCAGACAGAAGCCTTTTTCTTCCTGAATGTTAAGACTTGGATGTGTTCCCATGACCTCAGGAAGTGGAGCAAGAAGCCCAGAAACTCTCAGAGGCTCTCAAAACCCAAACTTTTAATCTCTGAGTAATATTTTTAGATTTAGAAAGGATCTGACATCTACCCCAAATAACTCTTGTTCTGATGAAAGGAGTGTCGATACAGCCTGCAGGTGCCTGCTCCTTCTTTTGTCCATCTGCACCAGTGCTGCAGATTGGCTGGGCATTTCTCAGGGATGTCTGCTGCTCTCAGCATACTGCAAGCATACTGATCAGTTTTGACTTCCAGACAAGATCAGTTGGCTGGGTTTTGTTGCACTACTTTTGATAAGCTTATAAAATCTTGTATAATGTTACAGAGAAAGCTTAGCAGAAAGCAAGACGCATTTCCTTTCCTTGGCTGTGGCTTAGAGGTGTGTGAGAGCAGCAAAAGAGCAGCAGTGTTCAGTGCCTGGCAGTGAAATTCCTTGATGACAACAGAAGGATGCTGACAGATCAAACAGAAATAATGATCTTGCGCTTGGCCATTTCATCTAGTTTAAATGAAAACCTGACATTTCAAAGTAGATAAAATAGTTACAGACAGATTCCAGTTGGCTTCTGAAGAAGGAGGGTGTTTGGTGTCTTGGTTGAAAGCCTTCCTGATGTGCTCCTGATGAGCCTTTGGCCAGCAAGGCATTTCCCAGCCTCACCCCCTGCTCCTTGGTGCAGTGCTGAGAGAAGCAGCCCCAGGCTGTGGAGAGGCAGTTGTTGATTTATTCCGAGACAGACGGTCTCTTTCTGTGAATTTCATCCAAATAGCTTTTGAATGCAAGATTCAAAAGCCCAGATTAACTAAATTTGGCAGTGATCTCAGAAGCAAAATCTCTTATAAATTTGTTTCATGCAAGTTCGGTTACAGTAGAGAAACCTTAGTGCTCTTTCTGAGGAAAGGTAGCAGGTGAAGTCTGCATCAACTTTGGCTTCAAAAAGTCTTTATTGGATGTGTGTTTAAGGCCTTCATCCACTGTGCCACAAGCCAGTGAAACTCCAAATGCAGATCAAAAAGAAAGCGAGTTTAATGAGCTTTGATGCATGGAGACTCTTTATTAACTTTTTCTAATCCTTGGTGCTCCTGAAGGCACAGTTTGCTGTGTCCATCAAGATGTTGTCACCAAACTGTACACAGTATATTTTCCCTCATGCCCTGCATTTATCACTGAAGCATCTGACAGTTGCTGACATCTGGTCAGAAAAAAGGCTGATGTGGACATACCATGAGCACACAGTCGCTGTGCATGCTCTGAGATGGTGGAGAGCAGAAAGAATTTTGAACTGAAATGGCCTGACAGGTACCGGGGTTAGAAAGTCTGTGTGAAAATCAGAGAGTAGACAGAAAAGCATGAACATGGGGGACTGGAACTTGGTGATCCTTGAGGTCCCTTCCAACCCAAGCAATTCTATGATTCTGTGAACTTGGGTATGATCACATGCTTTTCTAGAACAAGCAAACTAGATAGTAAAGCAAAAGAAGAATGTTCAGAAAGGAAATGGGAGTGTGTCTCAGCACAGTTGGAGGAGGTGCCTCCAAGAGGCTGCTGACACTTTTTTGTTTTGGTTCCCCTTGCTTGCTCTGGCTGGAAATAAAAGCAAGCCTGTAAGGCTGTCACAGGAAGAGATTTATAGCACAGCTTCTTGGGCAGAATTAGGTGACAGATGGAATGTCTCCTCTCATCTAGCAGCTTAGTTATCAGCAGGTCTGGAGCGTGTTCCTAGAGAGATGGGCTCTGTCTGATATTGCAAGTCCAGTCAGGGACAGCATACTACAGAGCTCTTGTGTTGTGCCAGTGGAGAACTACCAAGAAAGGTGAGACTTTCTCCTGCCTTTCTTTGCCCAGAGAGGTGGTGGATGCCCCATCCCTGGAGACATTCAAGGTCAGGCTCGATCAGATTCTAAGCACTTGATCAAGCTGTAGGTGTCTCTGTTCGTTGCAGGGGAGTTGGAGCATATGACCTTTAAAGGTCTCTTCCAACTCTAAGGATTTTATGGATCTAAGAGCCATCCTCTGCCTCATCTTCAGGGTCCCTGTTAGGTTACCCATAGCTTTTGCTGAAGTAAGTCTTTGTTGTTTTTGTTGTGTTTATTCCTGCTAGAGACTGTCATTTCATGTATCATTTTTATGGCATTTAATGGTATGTGGAACGTGGAGCTCGCCCTTGAGTAGGCATCTGAAGCAGTCTATTCAAGTTAAGTCTTGTAAGCAAAGAACAGTCTGTGCCCCACAGAGCTCACTGTCAAGTACTACTAGTGTAAAAGTGCAACATATAAAGACAGCCACATCTTGTATTCTCTCTTGTGTATGCATAGCAATCCTCTTCTTATTGTCCTCTATAGCAGCAGAGCACAATAGCAATTAAATAGCACCTTCGGGGGAAAAAAAAGAAAGGATTCTTTGGCAAGCTGTACCTTGTTTTCTGAAGTGGCTTTTAAGGTTGCTTTGCTTGCGAGTTACTTCGCAGCTGCGAGGCTTGAGGTCTGCCGTTCCCCAACACTTAGCAGCAACCTATTTTACCAAGTTGATTTGTATCACTGCTGGAATGTTGTGCCTTGGCACCTGAGTCTTGGTGCTTTGTTACGTGAGGATCAACAAGTATTGAGCTAATTACTTCCTACCCAGAAGCATTCCCTTCTGGGCTGAATTCAAGGGCTGCCAAAATACTGGGATGGCTGGCATGCATCCACAAACTGCTTCTGTGGGGCCGGGCAAGAGGGAGAAAATGGTTTATCACAGGATACAAGTGAGTTGAAAAGGATAACTCGTGTTTAAAATGACCTGATGCCTGTTTCACATGATCCCATCTTGAGAAGTGCTGTGTGCTGCCTGTACGAATGCCAGTGGCTGATGCAGCTTCTCTGTTGTACCAGTGCTGCTGGCATACAACGAGGTGAAGGTATTGCTTTCAAATGAGCTTAGTGGTGGTGTAGACAGCTAGAGCATCAGGTGGCTTTTCTTTATGCTTACTTTGCTAAGGGGGTACTGGCGAAGCCCTGAAGAAAACATGCCTTGTATTTGTTCCTTCTGAGTTTCTGGGGACATGCTAAGAAGCTTTCAGCATTTGTATTTTCAGAAGCTTTCCTACAGGATGGATAAGTTAACCCCTAGATTAGCACAGGAGAAAAAGGCACAGACTTCCTGCACACTGTTGGACTGCAGACTTTTGGTCACAGTCTGCAGTGCATAGCTCTCCTGCTGTAGGTCTTGGTCTCAGAACTGCAGAAGATCCACCGGAGGAGAAGGGATGACATATAGCAAGAGTGTAGAGCTCTCCTATGCATCAGGAGAAAACAAACACCAACATCACAGAAGTTTTCCATGTTCTGCCCTGTGGTGCTATGTTTCTGACTGGAATTTAAGAGGTTATTGTTAAACAGTGTTTTCAGATGGCTCTTAAAGGAACTTCAGGTGGAAAAACAGAAGTAATTGAGGTGTCTATCACAGCTGGAAATAATGTAAGTATCCTATAGGTCTGGTTACTGCTCTGGTTGCAGGAGTGCTCTGCTGTGCTAAGTCTTCTGGAGACAGCTCTAGATTGAAAAGGAGAGAGGCAAGGATAGATGGGTAGGGCCTATGGAAAGATGACAAAAAATGACAGGATTAGACATCTCTCTGGATGCCCTGTATGGCAACAGACAAAAATACGCAAAGTTCATCATTACTGAGGGATGGAAATTCGAAAATCCAAAGGCAAATTCAGTAGCAATAGAAGAAGTTTGATTTCTGGTTTTCCCATGTTATCTCCCTTGTCTCTAGAGGTGGCAGCACAGAGACTGGTCGGGCTCTGAAATACATTCTCCATAAGGGATTCCCTGGTGGCAGGAACTTGACTGTCCCCAAGATCCTGATCATCATTTCGGATGGGAAGTCCCAGAGCAGTACCGCAATGCCTGCCATGCAGGTGAAGGAGAGAGGGACAACAGTTTTTGCAGCAGGAATCAAGTTTCCAAGGTAGGAAACCTTCCACACATTTGGAAATGAAGGCCCAGTTCCCCAAATGCCAAGTGTGGGGTTTTGTATTCAGTTCTTTGGGGGTGACGTAGGGCCTGGTTATACCAGCGGCTGAACCCTTTGCTCCGCAGGTGGGAGGAGCTGCATGCTCTGGCCAGTGAGCCCACTGAGCAGCACGTGCTCTTTGCCGGCGATGTCAGCGATGCAGCCAATGGTCTGTACAGCGCCCTGAGCAGCTCCATCTGCAGTGTCACCACACCAGGTAACCCCAGGCCTGGCCCCTCCTTATACCTCGCCTTTGAATTTTGTTTGAGTCACTGAGTGAGGAAAGATGAGGTGGTGTCAGAAATGGTACCTAGAGCCAGGGTGTCTGAGATCCGTGTCTTGGAGCAGTCACACTGAGCATCAGTCGCTTTGAGATAACCTGTTTCTGGTGACCAGGCTTGTCAGATGCCTCTGCGGATAGCTGTAGGTTGCAGGATCCTAAGTCTTTCTGTGGCATTCACCTCAGGAAATGGGAATGCTGCTCGTTGCTCATGTCATGGGTAAAAGAGGGATTATTCCTTCTAGAGACTGTCACTTCACAGTTCATTTTTTATGACATTTCGTGGTACATAGAGCACAGATCCACTTCTTGCATAGGCACACAGCTGTGCTAAATCTTCTTTCAGACTTGGCTATGTGGTAAGTCAGGCAGGGCTCGCAAGAGATGGAAGAGACAGCCATATGGAGACTAGAGTGGTCCATAGGTAAAAGCAAATCAAATATGTGAGTAATGAGGGCACCGGAGCACTGAAAAGTGCTGCTGAACTCAGCAGTGCCAGTTGTGTAACAGAGCCAAGGAGGCAGAAGAGTGTGTACAGAGCTGGAATGTACTGAGATTGACCACAGAGAATTTCTCTTCTGGGGTCTCACAGAGGCACTTTTGACAGGTAGATGAAGAAAGCTAATTTGCTTCAAAGTGGGTGCTCTGTGCCTGCACAGACTCTGTATTTTTAGGCAGTCGGTTTGCTCTTTGCTACAGGTTGCAACGTTGAATCCTTTCCTTGTGAACGCAGAACTCTGGAGACTGAGAAAGAACTGGCTGGAAGCTATGTCTGCTGGAAAGGCTCAAAGCAGCAGAATGCAGTGCATGCTTCACTGTGCCCTTTTTACAGGTGAGCCTGACACCCACATCTGACCACGGCTTTCCTGGGATGAAGACAATGCCTTCTTCAATATGGCAAATACAAACTTGTGCTCAAGGCTTTTATTTTATAGAATCATTTAGGTTGAAATGTCCTCTAAAATCATTGAGTCCAAAAGTCACGTCTTCTTAGATTAAGGAAATGGTGGAGGGAGTTGAAAAATCCTACGGGGAGGCATAGTTGAGGGCTGAGGTTTCCCAGTCTAAACCTTGTCTTTCTGGTTCCTATTGCAGCTGGATAAGCTAGAAGCCTGAATTAATGTTGAATAAGAAATTCACACTGCTATAAAATTTTAATTCCAATTTAGAACAAAAAAGTTAACATATTTTCTGTAGCAACTTAAAAAAATATATATCATTTGAAGCCTTAAAGATATGTCCATCGTCCTTAATTCTAGAGTGGTGGAAGCATAGACTATCCTGAATTGGAAGGAACTTAAAAGGATCATCGAATCCAAATTCTGACTCCACACAGGACCACTGGAAAATCAAACCATGTGTTTGAGAGCATTGTCCAAATGCTTTTTGAACTCCAGCAGTGTTATGGTAGAGTTCAAAAGCAAAAGAGCAGACTTGATAAAAAGAAGTGTTTTAGTTTTGCTGCTTTACTTAGAATAGATGTTTTCTTTCAAAATATTTGTTTTAAAAAATTGCCTTTTCAAAGGAAAATTTGTTCCATTGAAAACAAAGTAATACCAGCCTTGAAATTGCCTTGTTAATCTTTAAAGCTACTATAGATTTGATTGTCCTGTTCAATAATAAACTTCCCATTTCAGATTGAAAAGAGTCTCAATAAAACACCCATCCAGATGCTTCCGAACCACATGTACAGGTAGGACTATTATCTTATTTGAATCTTATTTACAAAGCAGAAAAGGTAGCAAAGAGGAGTTTTTACCCTCACTGCTAAAACTTTTGTTCTGAGTGACAGTTTGAGGCACTGAGTCTGGTTGGAGGCCTGTAGCTAGTGGTGTCCCCCAGGGCTCTATACTGATTCCAGTCTCATTCAACATACTCATCAGTGACCTGGATGAAGGCACAGAGTGCATTCAGCAGGGTTATTGGTACCAAATTGGGTGGAGTGGCATATATGCTTGAGGACTGCACTGCCATTCAGAAAGACCTTGACAGACTGGAGATGTGGGCAGAGAAGAACATAATGAAGAATGTGTTTACACAGACGTAATTTCAGTGGCATTATTGCAAAGCAAAAGCAGTGAGGTTACAGTCTGCTTTGCTGTCTTCACTGCTGGCAGCTGTTCCATATGCGTGAAGATGCACATGGCCCTGCATCAGTTCATGCTGCAGGAAGATGGGCTGAAGTTTGGCCCCTTTTCCGCAGTAATGGTTGTGTTTGTGTTGTCACAGGATGGGAAGGTGCATGTTCCCTGCTGACTTTACGTCTTCTCCTTCTTTGGTTCCATTTAGACCCTTGTGACTCCCATCCGTGCCAGAATGGGGGTACATGTGTCCCAGAGGGACTGGACAAGTACCACTGCCTGTGCCCTGTGGGATATGGAGGAGGCATACACTGTGGTAGGTGTCAACCTGACTTCTCCCTCCTTCCTTCTCAACTGTGTCTTGCCTTGGTAAGTGGCCGTGGCATGGCCGTGGGAATGGCTGGACTTACGCTGCAGCCTTTGGGCTGTGTTCCAGGGGATCAGCTGAATTTTCTCTTATGCCATTTCAATATACTGAATCAGGCCTAGTGACTGGGTCTCACCAGTACTGATAATGTCACCCTGATACAACTACCTTAAATGTAGGTAGAACACGAGTAGGAGAACAGAAAAACTGAGAGGGACATAGAAGCATTTATCCCTGCACACATGGGCCCAGGAGGGACTCCCAGTTTGGGGAGTTCAGTATAAGCCTTTAGAGGCTTGTGTGGCATCCACCCAAAACAAAAATCACTCTTGGCAGAGCTGCCCTGCAAAGGGCCAAATCGAGCCATGTCTGGCAAACCATTTAGGCTGCTGGACACAACAGACCTTTCTACACCACCGAGCTTCCATCAAGAACCAGCAGAGGCGCTCAGCATGCTTGTTCCTGCCATGCATACAAGAAACTGCTGTCTCTCTTTTCAGCGCCAAAGCTGAGCCTTGATTGTGGTGTGGATCTCCTTTTCCTGATGGACAGCTCAGCAGGGGTCACACTGGAGGGATTCCTGCGTTACAAGGCGTTCCTCAAGAGGTTCCTTCAAGCAGCAATGGGCCGGGACTCGCCTGCAAATGTGGGAGTGGCCCAGTACGATACCAATGTCAGGATACCTGTTGAAGTGAGACAACACAAGGATGTGTTTGGTCTCATGAAGAGCATTGATGCTTTGAATTTCAGCGGGGGAGGAACCCTGACGGGCAGAGCCCTGCTGTACATTGCACAGCATGGTTTTAGGAGCACCCCAGTCTTTGCAGATGTGCTGGATGACCTCCCACGTGTGGTGGTCTTGCTCACTGACTCCAAGTCCCAAGACCCAGTGGCAGAAGCTGCCAAGTATGCAAGGGACAGAGGTCTCTTGTTGATCGGTGTAGGCAGCAGCTTTGTGAAGGCAGAGCTGGCTGAAGTGACTGGCAACCCAAAGCAGACCATTGTCTACTCAGACCCCCAGGATTTGTTCAACAGGATCCCAGAGCTGCAGAGAAGAATTTGCAGTGTGAACAATCCTGAAGGTAAGAAAGTGATGTAAGGGATGCAGGAGAAGTTTGTCAAACCAAGAGGTCTTCTGACCTCCGTTGGGGTGTAGGGGAGGTAGAAGGATGAATGTCCTCGTTTTGCTTGTGTCAGTCACAGGTGAGGCACTAAGCTTCCATCATTGCTCTTATGATGGAGCTGTATCTGTTGATGTTAAGAGGCCTTATATCATCCTTCACAGTCAGTGATCGGCAGCAATGAAATTGGCACAATTTATTCCCACTGCTTTTTTTGGAATACATCTACATACTGAAAAATACAGTGTTTGCACTCTTATCCAGGCTGCCAGGTGCAGTCTCTTGATTTGGTATATGCAATGGATGCCTCAGCTGGAGTTGGCCTGGTGAATTTTCTGCAGCTGAGGGACTTTGTCAGGAAAAGCTCTTGGCACTTCACCATCAACTGGGATGTCACCCAAATTGCCCTTGTGGCCTATGGCAGCAGAGCTCACACTGTGTTCGCATTGGACACCCACACAAACAATTCAGCTCTCCTCCAAGCCATCAACCAGGTGCCTTTCCTTGGAGACATTGCCTCTGCCAGCAGTGCCTTACTCCAAATTAACAGAGACATGATGACAGTGCAGAAGGGAGCAAGGCCTGGTGTCAGCAAGGTGGTGGTGGTGTTCACAAATGGAGGTGGCATGGAGGATGCAGCTGCCCCAGCTCAGCAGCTGAGAGACAACGGTGTCATGGTGTTTGTGGTTGTCATTGGGAATGCAGAGAGGGACACCCTGCTTAGAGTTGCTGGGTCTCCCAGTTACCTGGTGTGCATCTATTCCTATGAAGACCTGCAGCATTACCAAGACCTCATCACTGAAAGAATCTATGAAGGTGAGAGCATCCTAAACTTGCTATTTATGATGCTGCCAGCAGCTTGTGGTAAACTGTAAAACAAGCACAGAGGGGACTTTCTTCTGTAGCCTGTGTTATTGTAGGCTTTATGATGTGTTAATGAGTGTTCTTGTTGTCACTTCCACTTAACAGGTGGAGAGACCATGGTATTGAGATCTGGTGGTTGTCCAAAGCATTGCTAATGGGAATAGGAGTCAGCTTTCCCAAGGTTCAGTGCAGGTGGTGAAATGAGGCTTCATGTGACTGCTCTTTCTATTTCTGTCATGTCTATGTTCTGCCTTCACTGAAAGAAAAAAATATTGCTCTTTGGTTGTTTTTTTGTTTTTTTGTTTTTTGTTTTGTTTTTGTTTTTTTTTTGACATTGCTTTTAAATCTGTAGAATTCACTGTGCATTGCTGTAAGCTCTGTGGTGTAGCTGGAATGCATTTCTGCAGCCACCAGTGTTGGTCCTTCAGTGAGTTTTCTGCTGGCTCCTTCAGCAGCTTTGCGCACGTGTTCCTCCTCAGTGTCCCACTGTGAGACACTTAAGATTTTATTGGCATTGCACAGCATTTAATCCTAAATCAGGATCTGTCTGGTTTTGAAGCTTGCATGCTAGAAAACGGAGGCCTTCAGACAACTTCTGCTTAATTTTGTTTGCAGGACCAAAATCCTTGGCTCTGAGGCATTCAGGGGGGCATAATTTTCAAATATTCATGTAAAAGATTGTGCAAAACAAAAAACTGTACTTTCTTCACAATTTCACATCTTGAGGACCAGTCCCCAGCTAGGAAAAAAATGAACTCTGAAGTCAAGTTTGAAACATTGATGTGCTTGTGCTTGTGCTTGTGCTTGTGCTTGTGCTTGTGCTTGTGCTTGTG